CTGTTTATTTTGTTTATTCTGTTTATTTTGGTCCTCCATAACTCTCTAGGTCAAGTCAAGTCATTTTATTTTGTATAGCCCAAAATCGCAAATTACAAATTTGCCTCAGAGGGCTTTACAGTCTGTACACATACAACATCCTCTGCCCCGAAACCCTCCATCGGCACAGGAAAAACTCCCCAAAAAATGAAAAAAACCCTTACAAGAGGGAAAAAAGGGAAGAAACCTTAGGGAGAACGTCAGAGGAGGGATCCCACTCTCGGGATGGACAGACTACAATGGATGCCATGTGTACAGAATGAACAATGTATAATACATGCAATTCCTATGACAGAAATGATTCAAGTAATTGTGAGTAGTAAGCCAGGCGCACAGCAGGACCACTGCAGGGGCAACCACCATCAGATAGAACCACCATCCACAGAATCCTGTGGGGAGGGAGAGCACAGAGATTTTAGGAGAGGGTAATGTCGGTTTATGAGTAATGTAATATGATTAATATCTAAAATAATGATGATGATGATGATGGCAGCAGCAGGCGTCAGCATGGCCACGGTAGGTGTCAGGACCAGGGTCCCGAAGGAACCACGATCTACGGAGACCTGATAGGGGAGAAAGCACAAAAAAAAACCTCCCGGAAAGAAGCTGAATTAGTCATGTGCATTAATAAAACTTGTTATGGTAGAACGAGAGCGTGAGAGAGGAGCTTTGTGTGTCCTAAGAATTCCCCCGGCATTCTAAGCCTATAGCAGCTTAACTAAGGGCTGGTCCGGACTAACCTGAGCCAGCCCTAACTATAGGCAGAATCAAAGAGGAACGTTTTAAGTTTTACTTTAAAAGAGCTGACCGAATCTGCCCCCCGGACTGAAAGTGGAACCTGGTTCCACAAAAGAGGAGCTTGATAACTGAAGGCTCTGGCCCCCAGCCTACTTTTTAAAACCATAGGAACAACAAGTAACCCAGCATCTATGGAGCACAGCTGCCTTGTAGGGCAATAAGGTGTTACAAGCTCTTTAAGATACAACGGTGCCTCACCAGCAAGTGCCTTGTAGGTGAGGAGAAGTACCTTAAAATCTATTCTTGATTTAACAGGGAGCCAGTGCAGAGAAGTTAATACAGGAGTGATATGATCCCTTTTCTTAGTTCTCGTTAATACACGTGCTGCAGCATTCTGAATCAACTGGAGAGGCTTAAGAGATTTATAAGAGCAGCCTGATAACAAAGAATCACAGTAGTCCAGTCTGGAAGTGACAAATGCATGAACTAATTTTTCTGCATCACTTTGACACAGGAAGTTCCTGATTTTTGATATGTTACGTAGATGAAAATAGGCAGTCCTTGAAGTCTTCTTTATATGCGAGTTGAAGGTCATATCCTGGTCGAAGAGAACTCCCAGATTCCTGACGGTGCTGCTGGGTACCAGAGCAATTCCATCCATAAAAACTGTATCACGTGACAGCTGGCTTCGAAGGCGCTCTGGGCCTATCAGGATAACTTCCGTTTTTTCTGAGTTTAGCATCAGGAAGTTGCCGGTCATCCAAGTTTTGATGTCTCCAAGACATTCTTGAAGTCTAACTAACTGGTCCGTCTCTTCTGGCTTGATCGACAGATACAGTTGAGTATCGTCTGCATAACAATGGAAGTTTATGCGGTGTTTCCTGATAAGATCGCCCAAAGGAAGCATATAGAGGGTAAATAAAATCGGTCCAAGTACAGAACCTTGTGGGACTCCGTGACCAACATTGGTGGTCTTTGAGGATTCACCGTTTACAAGCACAAACTGGGATCGGTCCGATAGGTAGGATTTAAACCAGCTGAGTGCAGTTCCTTTGATACCAATTAAATGTTCTAGTCTCTGCAACAGGATACAATGGTCTATGGTATCAAATGCGGCACTGAGGTCCAGCAAGACAAGAAAAGAGATGACTCCTTGGTCCGATGCAAGTAGAAGATCATTCGTAATTTTCACCAGTGCGGTTTCTGTACTGTGATGCACTCGAAATCCTGACTGGAAATCCTCGAACAAAGCATTGTTTTGTAGAAAGTCACATAATTGATTTGCGACGGATTTCTCAAAGATCTTAGAGAGGAAGGGAAGATTAGAGATAGGTCTGTAGTTAGCCAACACCTCTGGAGCAAGAGTAGGTTTCTTAAGAAGAGGTTTAATTACAGCTACCTTGAAGGACTGTGGTACATGTCCTGTCAACAAAGACAGATTCATTATATCTAATAAGGATGTGCTAACTAAAGGAAAAACTTCCTTAAGCAGTTTGGTCGGAATCGGATCCAAGAGACAAGTAGAAGATTTAGACTTTGAAAATAAAGAAGTCAGTTGATCAAGGTTGATGGAAGAGAAGGCATCCAAACAGGCATCAGGGCCCACTGCTGCATCCAAGGTTCCTACATCGGAGGACAGGTCGGCACTGGTTGAAGGCAGGAGACCATCAATTTTCTCTTTGATAGTCAGAATCTTATCATTGAAGAAGTTCATGAAGTCGTTACTAGTGAGGTCCAAAGGAATACACGGCTCGACAGAGCTGTGACTCTGTCAGTCGGGCTACAGTGTTGAAGAGAAACCTGGAGTTACATTACATTACATGTCATTTAGCTGACGCTTTTATCCAAAGCGACGTACAATAAGTGCATTCAACCATAGGGTACAAACTCAGGAGAACAAGAAACAAGAAAGTGCAATTTCCTCAAATAAGCCAATTTACAATTTGCTATAGATGAGTGACGTTACAAGTACAATTTAAGTGCTACAATTTGTTAGTCTTTAGTCGAGGTAGAGTCTGAAGAGGTGTGTCTTTAGTTTGCGGCGGAAGATGTGAAGGCTCTCTGCGGTCCTGGTGTCTTCAGAGAGCTCGTTCCACCATTTCGGCGCAAGGACAGCGAAGAGTCGAGACCTAGTCGAGTGTTTTGCTCTCAGTGAGGGAGGGACGAGTAGTTTTGCAGATGCAGAGCGGAGAGTGCGGGTTGGGATGTAGGGTTTGACCATGTCCTGGATGTAAGCTGGACCCGATCCATTCACAGCATGGTACGTGAGCACCAATGTTTTGAACTGGATGCGGGCGGCCACCGGTAGCCAGTGAAGAGAGCGGAGGAGTGGAGTAGTGTGGGAGAATTTCGGAAGGTTGAAGACCAGTCGAGCTGCTGCATTCTGAATGAGCTGCAGAGGTCGAATGGCGGTGGCAGGGAGACCTGCCAGGAGGGAGTTGCAGTAGTCCAGGCGGGAGATGACAAGAGCCTGAATCAGTACCTGCGCTGCCTTCTGAGTGAGAAGGGGACGTATTCTCCTGATATTGTAGAGCGTGTATCTACAGGATCGCGTTGTCGCGGCAATGTTGGGAGTCAGGGAGAGTTGGCTGTCGAGTGTGACGCCGAGGTTCTTAGCGGTCGAGGTGGGCGTTAGTACGGAGTTCCCAAAGTTGACTGTCAGGTCCTGGGTAAGCGAATCTTTTCCGGGAAAGAGAAGTAGTTCAGTCTTGTCGGGGTTGATTTTCAGATGGTGGGCGGACATCCACTGAGAGATGTCAGTTAGACAGGCAGAGATCCGAGCCGCCACCTGGGTGTCCGAGTGAGGAAAGGAGAGAATTAGTTGGGTGTCATCGGCATAGCTGTGGTAAGAGAAGCCATGCGAGCGAATGACAGCGCCAAGAGAGTTTGTGTAAAGCGAAAACAGGAGGGGACCCAGCACGGAACCCTGAGGAACTCCAGTAGTAAGAGGACAAGGTTCCGACACAGATCCTCGCCAGGTTACCCGGTAGGTGCGACCATCCAGGTAGGACGAGAGAAGGGAGAGAGCAGAGCCTGTGACACCAAGTTCCTGAAGGGAGGAAATAAGGATCTGGTGGTTGACCGTGTCAAATGCAGCAGAGAGGTCCAGAAGGATGAGGACAGAGGAGAGAGAGGCGGCTCTAGCAGTGTGGAGTTGCTCAGAGACAGCAAGGAGAGCAGTCTCTGTAGAGTGGCCTGCCTTGAAACCTGACTGGTGGGGGTCAAGGAGGTTGTTACAGTGGAGATAAGAGGAGAGTTGATTAAAGATAGCACGTTCAAGGGTTTTGGACAAAAAGGGAAGAAGAGAGACCGGTCTGTAGTTGTTTTCTTCAGAAGGGTTGAGGGTGGGTTTCTTCAGGAGAGGGTTGACTCTTGCCTCCTTCAGAGAATTGGGAAAACAGCTAGATATCAGAGCGTTGTTGATGAGACAGGTGAGGAACGGAAGAAGGTCAGGTGCAATAGATTGTAGAAGATGTGATGGAATGGGGTCAAGAGGGCAGGTGGTCGGACGGGCAGAGGTTACTAGGGTAAGAATTTGGTTAGGAGAGAGGGCGGTGAAAGAGGAAAGTGAGGGCGAAAGAGGTGAGGTCGGTGGGACGCGAGAAGTAGGAGGTGGGTTTGAGAAGGAGGAGCGTATGTCAGCTATTTTCTTGGCGAAGTAGTTGACAAAGTCTCCCGGAAGAAGGGGGGAGGAGGGGTAGGGGGTTTGAGGAGATTGGAGAAGATCGAGAAGAGTTTTTTGGGGTTAGAGAATGAGGATTCGATTTTGGATTGGTAGAAGGAGCTTTTGGCAGCAGAGATAGAAGCAGAAAACGAGGAGAGGAGGGATTGAAATTCGAGCAGGTCCTCAGGTCGTTTATATTTACGCCATTTCCTTTCCGACGCTCGCATGGTGGCTCTCATGGCACGGACCGGTTGAGACAGCCACGGAGCCGGAGGGGATTTGCCAGTCCGTCGTGTCGTAAGAGGGCCGAGAGAGTCTAGAGAGGAGGAAAGAGTTGAGAGGAGAGACTCTGCAGCAGCGTTTGGATGCAAGAGTGAGAAGGAATCAGTTGAAGGGAGGGCTGATAGAACAGAGGATGCCAGCGAGGAGGGAGAGAGGGAGCGAATGTTGCGACGAGCCGGTATGGAGTTAGTCAATGAGGGAGGTTTGTTAGTTATAGAGAGTGGAAGGGAGTAAGAGATGAAGAAGTGATCAGACACATGAAGTGGAGTTACAGAGATAGTATAGCTAGAGCTGTGAAAAGTTTGATGACATCAAACACGCTGGCAACAGGAAGTGACGCAACACGCTTACCGTCACCGTCGCTTACCGCTTGCAGGTCGTCTTCAACAAAAACCTGTCACTCCGCCTGTTGTTCTGGCGGTGAATTGCTCTGCAACACACGCAAGACTTTTAGAACCATGAATTGAATGGAGCGCGTTGACTCACCGACGCAGACGCAGAAGCGTGCGCCGGCCTTAAGAGCGTGGGTTTACTGGGTGTGGTTTCCATTGAAGCTGGTAGGTAAACTTTGCGGCCTGCCGCACCCTTCCTCGTGAACCACCATTTTACCTTCCCCACTGGCGTGTTTGGCAACTCGATTTCTGGTCCATGGGTCTCTTTGGTCTGTTCAAGTTTCCGTATCTGCAAAAATGGTTCATTTATTGTCTTGGTGTTGCCGCCGACCTCCACACATTTTGCATAAAGCGGTCTCCTCTCAGCCAGCAGTTTCTTGTCCTTATTTTGCAAAACATGGAACATTTTCCTCTCAGGTTCCATCCTTTTCAGACAGAAAGGTGCACTAGGTGTGTCATATCCATCTAAGAGCATGGGTTTACTGGGTGTGGTTTCCATTGAAGCTAACGGGTAAACTTTGTTGCGTGCCGCACCCTTCCTCGTGAACCACCCTGTCTGCTTTGTCTCTTTGATCTGTTCATGAAGTTTCCGTATCAAAACCGTCTTCTCATTCAGCTCCTGTGTGTTGTCGCTGACCTCCCGACATTTCTTACAAAACCGTCCCCTCTCAACCAGCACCTCGCGGGACTTTACATCGATGACTTTCTTGTACTTATTTTGCAAACCATTGATAAATTTCCTCTCATGTTCTATCCTTTTCAGCACCATGTAGTCGTCATCGTCGGTGAATTTTATTTTCAGATCGATCACACTTCTTTTAAACCTCTCTGTGTCAGAGATCAAATCTGTGCATTTCAGCAGCTCCATCTTGAAGTGCTGCTGATAGGCCACCAGCTTCTTGCACCTCTCCCTCTCCTTGCACAATTCCTTCTCAAGTTTCAAATTCTGAGATTGAAATTCGGCCCGATTGTTGATGGTCTTTTTCTCACTTTTTTCTAACTTTTCGGAGTCCTTATCTTTTGGATCTAACTGGATCTTTAGTTCTTTAGGAGTGTTATTTTTTTCCTTCCCCATGGTCGATTTAATTTTGAGGAGAGCATGGAGGCATAGTTCCTCTACCACATGTTCTTTCCCTTTCTTGAGCTCTTCCTCACGTTCTTTTCCTTTCTCAAGCTCTTCCTCACGTTCTTTCCCTTTCTTGAGCTCTTCCTTGAGACTCTCTATCTCCAATTCGCTATTGTTGAGAGTCCGGGCAGTTAATTCGGCTTCGCGTTTTAACGTGGCCACATCGCGGCGGCGCACTTTCCTTTCACTGTTTTCTACCCTGAGGAAATACATTTCGTTTTGGGATTGGGCAATTTGGATTCGCAGGTTGTCACGGTCAGCCTGCAATTCTACCATTTCACTTTTAAGGGTAGCCTCCTTACCTTGCAGAACGTTTTTTTCTAAAATAGACTCATTGTGCTTCTGTATTAAACACTGCAGCTTAGTCTCTTGGTGTTCCATTTCGTTTTTATGGTTTGAAACCAGCTTATCAACCACTTGTTCGTGCATCAGCTCTATTTCCGCCAGTTTTATTTCATGGTCTGCTTTCATCTTTGACAGCTCAGTCTCGTTCAGGCTCAGTTTTTCATCGTAGCGCCTGAACATTTCCACAGACTTCGATCGCACCAGTTCAAACTCTTTCTGAAGATTGCTATTGAGTGTCACCAATGTATTGATCGTTTTGTTGTATTCATCTTTGGTGGCCGTGAACTTCGTTTTGTGTTCTTTATTCTCCTTTTCGACAACTTTCAAATCGTCTTTGAGCGCTTCTACCAGCCTCTTCAGATCCAGTATTTCCCTGCATTGGTTTTGATTGTATAACTTTTTATACCTTTTATCGGCAGACTGTGCTCCACGGAGCCATTCCAACTCCAGTAAATCTCCCTCGCAAGGTTGTTTTTTCGACATTGTCCACTGCCGATTTGTTAAAAGTATTGCTATCTCCTGTGGGCTATCTCCTGTGGGCTATCTCCTGTGGGCTATCTCCTGTGGGCTATCTCCTGTGGGCTATCTCCTGTGGGCTATCTCCTGTGGGCTATAACTAGTATTCCAGAAGCGATGAGGTCATCACATTCCTTTGATGTTTTGGCCACGCCCCTATGACCTAAGCGCAAAAGCGGCCAATGGAATGAGTGCATCAGGCAGGTGGGCGGGGCTTAGCTTTCAATACTATGATGTCATCAAGCAGGTGTCCAAGCCCCGGTGTGCTCCTGTGGGGTGATTCCCTGCTCGTTCTCTCCTCCTCTCAGGACGGAGAAAAACATATATTGATTATCGACAGATTGTGTGGACGGAAATAATAGAATTTTTTTCCTTTTTTTTTACATAAAAAACATACATAGTATCATATTTATAAAAATTAACTTTTTTAATACAATTAATTGATAAAAACAGTAGGGAGAAAATAGAATCACAGAAAATAAAATAACAATGTGCATCCAATGTCCATTTTTTTTCCGATACTATATTTTTGGGTAAAATTGAAACTGTTTTTTTTTGATGGGTCACAGTGAATTTGAGTTTTCTGTGCGTGTGTCTGGACCAAATCTGCAGAGACCAGGTTGTGAGGTCACGGTGAGCTTTCACCTGGAGGCAGAGTGACGTTCATCCGAGCTTTAAGATGTAATTGTTTAAAGTATGAGTACGTGATTTAGGGGTTAGACCAGGGGTGCCCAATAGGTTGACCGCCAAGGCAGTGCCGGTAGATTGGCTGCCATTGGAAAAAACGTAACATTGGGTCACCATGTATGTGCGGTGGACCGCGGGAGCAAACGGAAAACTAATTAGTGATCCTAGCTTACTAACGAACACATGTATTTTCATTCAAAAGCAACCCTTTTTGAATTAGAATTTTGGCTTGTTTGTATCACTCAGATTTTGAAATCATGATTTTACTCTTAAATGAAATATTCATTAATGGCACTGCTGTGATCCCTCCATTTTTAACACACTTATACATGCTGTATTTATAAGATTCTGTGACCCCGTGACCCTCCCTTAAGGGACCCGGTCAATCAACAGCATCTAAAAGGTCAGTCAGGGCACGTATGGTTCCATCTGTGTCTTATCTCACCCTGGACTGCCTTAAGTCACCGGCTCACATCAAAGGTCACATTCCTGAGAGCCTCACCCAACGCAGGCTCAACAATTTTCCCCCAACATAATTAAATGAACAATTAAGTGCATGTGACAAAACATTAACAGGAAAAGACAAACCTGAGTCACTGACCAGACTGCAAACTATCTCTCTTCACAAGAGAGTTGTAGTGGCCTCGTCAGTAGAGAAATTAAACTGGCCACCAGTTAAAATAAGTTCTGCAAACTACTCAGTATTTTTAAATGAGTAACATGCAATAACCACCAAAGGGTCTCCCGTACTCTTACCTTGCAGACAAGCGCCCCACAGAATATCGAGTCTTGCTGTCTCGGGTGGCTCACGGTTGAGCAACTCCATCTTGACACATGGATATTTTTGTTTCTCATGAAGGCTCTGTAGGAGAGAAATTAATTTATATATATATATATATTTATTAATTAACTAATATATATATATATATTAATTAATATATATATACCTTTCACCTAACGGATCAAGGTAAACCGCCCGGTGTTCTTTTGGATAAATTACCTTCAAAATACATTAAGTTCACATTCAAATCATGCCAGATTACCACACAAAAGTGTGGAATGTCTTCACATTCTTCTTGATGGTATGAACTATTCTCACCACAAGTGTCCAGTGCCGTTTGTCGCAAACCGGTCCGATGAGGATATCGAAGGCCAACGGGTCCAGCTGAAAACACACACATTATGAATAAAATGCTGCTTGTATTTTTAAGGGTGTCTGAACAGATTGCAAAGATTACCTTTATTAATTCCCTGAAACAGCCTTCCCACATTAGAAGTCATCTGGAAGGAGTCTAGATAACGCACTTTTATCTTAAATTCTTGCAGCTCCAAGACGTTATGAATGTATGCATTCAAAACCTTCAGTAATGATTGAAAGGTGTTAAATACTGTTGGCAAAATAATAAAAGGATAAACACTTTTACCGCCTGTACCTCACTCTCTATTTCCCTTCCGGGGGCCAAGTTCTGCAAGTCTCCGGCAAATATTTTATACGGCCCCAATTTGCTCCACAGCACACCTGGGCGTTTACCCGCCCAGATGTCAGCTATGACTGAAAGCAGGAGACAGAGCGGAGGATTTTATGATTAAATGCAGTGTCGTTCCAAAAGGTCACGGAAGTCATTACATAGAATTGACATCCATACTTACGTTCCTCTGGGGAGTGTAGAGTGGAGGTCAAGGAGACCGGCTAGGGAGTTGGACTGCAGAGGTGGAGGAGAAGAAGCCGCTGCCATCTATTTGCCTGGAATACGATCTTCAGGTTCCACATATTTTTTGAGATGGTCGATGTTAATTTTCAGGATTTTCTTTTCTTTGTTGCTTATAAGGTGAGCACTTTTGTCATCAATGTTAGTTATGGTATATGGACCCATCATGTCCATTTTGCCCCCTTTTCTTTGCTCTTCCCTTATGTTTTTCCTCGTCCCCCACAACAAAGCAGTCATCATTCCCCTTTGCCAACTTTCTTTTGCGTACACGATCGTGGCCTTTTGCCAGATTTGCAGCAACCTTCGTATACACATCCTTTTGGTCTGTGATGTGGTTGGAAACCTCCTCATTCCTGGTGAGAGCACCAATACGGTCCTCTGATGGCTTTTACATTGGAGGAGACAAATAAAAAAAATAAAAGTACAAATTAGGCAGAGAAATCTATGTGGTTACCAAGCAACTTAACTGTAGGAAATTTCATACCTGCCACTCGACCGGTATTTCGGAGGGATACCGAGCTTCCCTCCCATACATGAGGAAATATGGGGAGTTCTTTGTGGTCAGTTGTTTCTTCGTCCTTAGACCAAACACAGTGGACTTAATATATCGGTCCCAGTCACCGGGGTGATCCTGGACCATTTTTTAAAAAACTTTTCAAAAAATAGAGGAAAACAATTATTAATGGCAATAAAAAGTCAGTCTCGAAGTAGATCAACAGTGGTTATTGGAATATATCTTAGATAAATAATGTTATAATGCACAAGAGGACAACTTATTTTGAATATGGTTGAATGCACTTATTGTACGTCGCTTTGGATAAAAGCGTCAGCTAAATGACATGTAATGTAATGTAATGTAATGAATACCATGATGCTTCTTCCATTGGTAATGGGACCACGAATACAGTAATATTACTTGCGTCAAAATTAAACTTACTTTGTTCACGAATTCCTTTCCACGGTCGGTGAGGATACGCTTTGGGGCGCCATATTTATAAAAGAAATCCATTACACACATGGAGATTTCTTCCGCTCCTTTGGTTTTCAGTGGGTACACCTCAAGCCACTTGGTGAAATAGTCCACCATCACACAAATGCATTGACACCCATTCTTGGTGCATTTTAGCTTACGACCAAGTCCATCCCAACCAATTCAAATGCTTGAGTCACCTTAAAAAGCAAACCAGATTTTAACACAAGGATGCTTCCATTCAACATGTTATATTTAGTAGGTATTTACCTCTATGGGTTTGTATAGCATGTTCTCCTTTATAGAGGTCCTCTTCTTTTGGCAGGCATCACACTGGCCAATCTGAAACATTTAGACAATTGAAAAACACTGATATCACTGATATGTTTAAATATTAGCACAAGGAGTGACACCCACCCATTTCTCGATGTGGGCCTTCATGCCAGGCCAGTAGAACCGTTGCAGAATTGCATCCATGGTCTTGTCGACCTCCCAGTGCGCTCCAATGTCACTGTCATGAAACTCAATGAATATGGCATTGGCTTCTTGTGGGGTCAACACAACCTTGGCAAGATGATGCCGCTGCTCATCCCGCTTTCTGCATCTATGAATTAGATTGTATAAACATTTGAAGTGACATTTAAATATTCAGTATATTATTTAACTTAGTTTAACATTTTCATTTAGCTGATGCTTTTATCCAAAGCATACAGTGTGGTTTTAATGGTTTAATAGTTCAGTGTGCAACTCCTGTAAGTTGTGTTCTCAGAAAGGTTTTTGAAGTGATGACTCATTGACACTTTGAGATGGTAGATTATGACTATTTCTATATTTTTCTTGTTTGTGTTTATCAGCTTCTGTACTCGTCTCCTCATCACTGAATGTACCAGAGAGGAAAACATTTATTCTTTGTAAATGAAAACTAATGATGACATTTCAAACAACAAACACGAGTAGTTGGTGTTTTAAAGTTTATTCAGTGAAAACATTTAAATGCTAGGTTTTTTAACTAAATGCTAATGTCAGCATGCTAAGTTACTTAAAATTAAATCATGTTGGTGTTTAACATATAAAACCTTTGAAATATTCCCCATCTCATTAGCATGTTATCAGTTCCTTATTGGCAATAAAAACAACACATATCAGAAGCGCAGGTGAATATGAATGTAATTAGTTTTGGAGGTATTTGGGCAAATGAAGAAAACGAAATGTCCACCAGACGATGTCACCACATTAAATGAATGAATAAAATGTTATCCTGAGGTGCACCAGATTTTCATGGCTATCTATCCAATAGATTTAGACAATTTATTCAAAATCACACGCCAACCTGATGGCAGAGGGAGACTAAGAGAACCCAATTAAATGATACCCAACAAAAGGACACTTGAGCTCTCAGAAGCAGAGAGGATTGAGTTGTGGAGGTGTGAACACTGTCACTTCACCACGGGGGATCCCAGGAACCTTCACCAGTCAGTCATCAGGTCCGTTCAACCCAGCGGCTGAGGGCAAAGAGGCTTCACCCACAATGCAAATAAAATTTGAGGGGCTGGTGGAACGGAATTCCTAATACAACATGAATTACGCATAAATAAAAGACTGCTAAATATGTTATTTAGATATGTAATGAAAAAAAAATACATTTGATATATTAATACTGTACCTGTGCATGAACTCAAGCCATTTTCTCAGAGCGATGTGAGACTTGGTGAATATTGAGCCATTACTTACAGACTTTGGGAAACTTTTATGATGCTTACAGAGCCTGAGGAAAAAGAAGGAAAAAAGTAAAAAAGGCTGACATGTAGACAAGGTTGTTCATGCTTTTACCTCTTCAAGCCTACTGCAATGCTCTGTAGTAATCAGTAAGGGAAACATCCTTGACTGCAACTTATCCAAAATGCTGCCAACGGCAGAAAACAAGCACGTCTCCCATGAGTCTGAGCAGAGCATTTATTAATAACAACAATACAAATAATAATATTAATTATTGAAAGACCCCGTCCAACCCTGCGCGGTGATCTCAGGCACGCAAGCTCAACGGCTTCTTCTACGTAGTTCCCATTTAAATGAACAAATTAGAATTAGCTTCTGCTTACCACCACAGCCCATCCTTGGCATTTCACCAGACATGCTACGGTTGCATTTTGCGCACATCGTCGTCGTCAGGATACCACGTTTCTGCATCCGTTTCACAATTTTCCTTCTGCCCTTATGTGTATTTGAACGCCTTAATATGTTTTAAAAGTTCTTCCGTCAGTGCCATTGCATCGACAACTAGTCACCCGTCTCTGATCTGATCCGCGCCCGCGCCTTTTTTTTGAAGTCGGTACGTCAGTCTTCTTCTCGTCGCTCAATGCTCCATCAACCAGACAGAACAGCGCCCCCGCGTGTGTCTACAGGGGAACTGCACCTGTATTCGTGAAAAAAGTTATGAGATTTCAAACGCCGTCGGCTTTTCTAAATATAAACTAACACATTTGTTAACATTTCATCACTGTTTACAAGTGTTGTTCAAATTTGAATTTGAACTGAATGCGCGCGTAACGTGACGTGACGATCCACATGAGTAGATCCCAACGCGACAGAGACGGACGTGCCCGGAGAGCAACACGCACTAATCAAGAGTCTGGAAGTATCCTACTTCAGGTAAGCTAAAGCGAAATACCGGTGTGTAATTTAGATTTTAAAAGAACATTTTTATGAAGAGGACATTATAACTGTGACGTTAGTCTTATGTTTACAGTCTTTGCCGTTTTGTTCGGCCCTCGGCAGATGGCGCCCTCTTCTGGGCGCTATTGGTTGTTAAATTAATCCGCTTTTATGCACTTTCACCCGGAACCGGAAGTTCGCCGTCCGTGTTATTGTTTTCGATCGTTTCAGAGAAATCATCCGCTGGCATGTTAAACGCCTTCGAAAGAATAGTCGTTTTACTAGTGATGGCAAAGTGACGCTTTCCAGCCAATTGTATCGGAAAAAAGGTTCATTCATTCAATGCATCGCAAACTCTACGATGACCTCTGCTGATGAAAACGTGTAGTGCAAATGGTTCGAATAGCCCACCAGTATATTTTGGCCCAATCTCTGATTATGAAAAGTTGAACCAATAAATCATCTAATAAATACACGGATTTTGAATTGTGTCCTTGTTTGTGTATTTCAATTCTTTGTACATTGGAAAGAAGTTTAACAAACACATATCTATATCTGTCTGTACCTTTGTGCATGTATGTTTGTGATCATACTAGCAGAATAATTAATAGAAGAAGACATCCGAGCATCTTTACGTTTGCTTCGCCGGGCACTGTCTGGTTCATGTTTCGACACTAGCTTGGCAGCAGGAGGGTCGGAGGTAACGACACTGGCATTTGGAGCTTGGACGATTATCCTGACTTCCGTATTCCTTCAAATGGAGTTTGGCTAACTGCTGAATTGTGAAGCTACACACACAAGGAGAGCAGTACACGTTTTATTAAGTTAGCGTTCAGCAACTAATGCTAGTTAGCCTTTAGCCTCTGATACAAGGCAGCCAACAGGCTATAACGTTAGTAGCATAGAGGTTTGTAGTATTTCCTCCAGTTTTCTTGTCGCTATTTCTAAACAACTAAGATGTCACGTTTGACTATTGCACCTTAACCTTAGCTTCTATGACATGGTGCTGTTTTCTTTTGTGTGAAGATTTGTGGGGGGCAGCAGCAAAGTACCTGAGCCTGAAGACAACGGGTTTTTCCCTCCTCTCCTTTTCCCTTCTTTTTGTGTTTTTTATTTGTATGATTGATTTTGTCGCCCTTTTTCTCACATGAGCGACATGTTGCTCAAAGAGGGGAATGGCCGCCGTGCTAAAACAAATAATATATTCTTTTTACTTTGATTGACTTTGATTTAAACAAATAATGAAATATTTTAACCCGTTGATTAATAAAAAGAACAATCATTTTAGAATCAGTTTAATCCTTTATGAACTTTTGATTGATCTGTTAAACAAATATTTATTTTCTTTGTGTTTAATCATTTGATAAGATTCACTACCATAGTTTTTCCTTTTAATTAGTTATACTTTGTATAAACAGGAGGGAAATGTTGGAAAAACTGCAAATAATGTGTGTCATGAGATCAATTAGGCTGTACTACTCAAGGTCTTTGCTACCCTCAGCTGGCAGACATCTTGTCTGTCCTCGGGAGGGACATTCTGTCTCCTGAGGGTAAACAATCCTCTGTATGTGCGTAACCATCCCTGTGTTTTGATGCCGTACCTGCAGTATATATTCCTGCTCCAAAGATGAAACCCTTTGTGTTGTCGGCATGTCTCAGCAGTACTGGGGCCATTTTATCTCAGATTAAAGATATAAATGTGTGACCTACAATTTAGCAAATCAGTGTCCTCCAGATAGAATATTTGGCCCCGAGCGTGAGCGTCCTCGTCGGGACGAGACGGCTTCTAGAGAGACAAGCGGTCCAGCTAGCTGCTCACGGCTAACAACGTGTTCTACTCCCCATGCAGGTCTTTGGTACAACACGGGGACGGATCCCACAGGGACACAAAGGACCTGCCTATATAAAGAAAACATTATATTAGTTTAGTGATATGATATATATATAAATCATAATTCTATTGCCTGTGAGGTGGACATGAATAAGATTGTCATGGCTATTTACTGCTTGGATAGCGCTTTCGTTACCTTAATGGGGTGTTTGCTGACGTTGGGCTCTACATAAAACACCTTTCCCCAAACTCGTGCGGTAAGTCACACACTTTGTGGACGGTACGTGAGCGTGTCCTCGCGCTGTATGCTGTGTCACCATCACAGGGGAAACACAACTCAATATAAAGAACTATAAGTTGTATCTGCAGTGTGTATTTAGTGGGTCATAGTGAGTAAAGGGAACCGTGTCCGTGGAGTTAATACAAAATAACGACAATGTTCCATGAGCGCTTCATGGACACACAGACCTCTGTGTGGAAGCACATTTAAAAAACACGCACCTTCCCACAGGGGTTCCCTCCTGCGAACATTCTCAGTGGACACTGTCCATGTCCCCTGGATGAAGAGCGTCTGTGTCTTTATTTATTTGCTTTCTGGGAAGCACATCCCGTTTTTCTGACTTTTCACAGTTGAACATATAAAAAGTCAGCAGCATATCACATTTTTCCAGACAAACATTTACTTTTACTGTCATTTATTGTTACGTTTCAAGTTCCCGGCGACGGCGATCACAGCACAACACAGACAGATCCCGAAACGTCAGAGGAACAAAGTCGATGCTTTGGTTGTATGTCGTTAACTCTACCTTAACAAAAAAAAGAAGTACAGCACTGTACACGCGTGCGTTGGCGTTACGCCCTCGCTACAGTTTATCCAACACCGTACGGCCGTGAGGCGTTCACAAGCAGAGGAGAGCCGCTGTCCCTCTGGTCCTTCGTCTTGAAATCAAACACAGAAAAAGTGCAGAAAGTACATCGAACACTTCAGAAATCTTAAAATCACCACACAACAACTGCAGGAGAAGCGATTCAAGTTACAGCGCTCGTTGATGCAACACGGCCTCGTGAGTCTTTAGCTGTACAATCAACAGCTACAAGTGCTTGTATTGGAAGATGCGCTCTGTGCTGGACTCCATCGACCCTCAGCCAGCTGCCAGCAGGCCGGGCACGGAGATGCCGTTTGGTCATCACAGTGGGAGGGTGAAAACACAGAGCCGCATGAAGACATGTGGACATTCAACGCTGTTTGCTTCACATCACTGGATCCCGCCGGCTGTAACTCCTCAGGGCGGCTGAGGACTCGCGTCGGATCACGATTAGTTCCAAAATCTGGACGAAAGCCGGCGTGTGCAGGAAATGAAATGCGTTGTTGCGTCACGTTTAACCAACTGAACCTGAAGTCCTCTTAACGAATGCTCAGGTGGGTCGTGATGAAAACCCTATGAGCATTTATTAACACTGTGGTGTAGAACATACTATGACGTAGCGGATCGTGAGCAGTTGAGAAGTAATTCTCAACAGATTTAAATGCTCCTACTTTTCAGCCACAAGCAAAGTAAGAAAATAAAATAAGTCTTTATAGGAGAATGTATTTACTGTAAAAATAAAAATTCCCTTATAACAGTGTACAACTACATGGCAGCATATTATTAACCATTTATTAATGTGTTCATGTTCTGCTTATGAATGTAAATAGATTTGGGCAACAAACGGCCTCGTGCCATTTAACGTCCAGTCGGTTCCCGGGAATGTTTTTAAAATCTGCACACTGACAACGTTTGCGGAAAAAGAACCAATCAAAGACGCTCCTGAAATTGCAAAGATGAAACGCTGCAGTGATCCGTCTGCGCTCAGGCCTTTCACACAGAAACAGGGAGGGTTTAATGTGGTCATGTGCACAGTCCAAAGGATATTGCCTGTTTATTGTTCCTGTATTTACAGTTCTACTAACCGCTCCTCCATCCGAGCCCCGTGACATTCAGCTGAAGGTTGATGGTTTTATTTAGTGTAAATGCAGCGGGTGGAGCATCGCTTCACCGCCCGCTCTCCCCCACATCACGGGGCGGTTCAGGACTCGTCGTCGGTGGCGTCGAGGGAGCGCTCCTGGAGGAGAGAAGAGAGGACTGTCTGCTGCACGACATCGGACAGCGGTGGTGGAGACATATGAGTGAGGACGAAGAAGAAACGCAGTCACAGGAGCTCATGTGTCATTCCTTCCCTTCTCCTAGCGATTGTGAGATGCATGTAGTGGTAAAATATATTATAACATTGTTTTGTGCTAAAGCCGTGTCTCAAGTGTCTGTATTTGACCCTGATGTGCAAAGAGCAGCATGATACAAAATGTTGCTTTGCAGCTGTGTCCTGAGAAGGGAGGACGGTCGACTCGAGCTCATAGACGCTTCAAAACAAAGGACTTCTGTTCATGGCCTTGGTTCATATCTTATTCGGTACGAAAGTTCCGGATCCACATTTTTTACTTCATGTCAAGTAATAATGATTTGCAGCGGCCACTGAGGAGGATCTTGTGTGTGTGTGTGTGTGTGTGTGTGCTGCCCTCAGCTTCACCTGGGTTCTTATCTCAACCTGCTTTGCAGCTTCTCGTAACTGGCACAGAGAATGTCCTCCACATGTGTATAAAAACTCAGCGTTTTCACTGCTCGGAGACGTCATTACGCCGAGCGCTGATACGTGCTGCTGTGTTGGACCTCCTGCTTGCAAGCAATAGTTAGAGACAGATATCTGCGGAGAATTGCTCATGTCATCTTTTTCTCTTCTAAATAAATGTTAACTTTTTGACTTTAATTGATCAACGTGCTGCGACATGACATGATACACACGTCTTTACACTTCAAAAACATTTTTTCTTACTTAATCTAAGCCCTAAAGTTTGAACCGAACAGTGGACATGAATAACTTCATGTTTATCTGCTTCAATTAGTATAAAGTAACTATAGTGTTGTGCAAACTAGACAAAATTTGAGGATAAAACTGGTCATAGGAAAGTACACACACACGCACACACACGCAAACGCACGCACACACGCACACACGCACACACACACACACACACACACACACAGAGTGAGGTACCTCTTCCTGCTCCTCCTCGGAGTCGTCATCACTGACTACAGGTTTGGCTCGGCTGCGTCCTGTCCGCCTGCTGCGTCCCTTCCCTCGGTCTCCACCTTTGTCCTTCTTTCCCAGACGGATCTTCATTTTCACCGAGCGAGCTGCAGACACACACACACGTACACACACACACACACACACACACACACACACACACACACACACACGTACATTCATCAGTGAGAGAACGTAACAGTCCTGTATCGCTCTCTTACATTACAGCCTACATTCAGACTCCGATCCTTCCTCCAGCTCCTCTTCCTCGCTCTCCTCGCCATCACTTTCGTCCTCCTTCTCCACCTTTTGCCTCAAACTGGTAAACACCGATTGGAGGACTATGGAGTCTTCATATATCTGCCCACGTGGAAGAAAACAAGTGATTACCATCAACATCAAGTGCATGGAGTCATTAACGTCGATGCTCTCAGGGACCTCAGTGCATGTGTGATTTTAAACATTTTAGCATTTGATGCAGAGCGGGAGACAAACATATGTCATCCATGGTGCAGGCGTCTGCCGGGACTATTTATTTATTCTAACCCGGAGGTGTTACACACATCTTTCGTCTTACTTGCAGTCTAGATTGTTCTGGTGTGAGTTATCAGACGCTAAGAAGTCTTCTCTTCATTATCATTGGACTATGTGGCACTTCGGAGAAGATAATCCTTGTTAAGAGCAGTAAGATGTGGGAACAATGGTTATATATATATATATATATATCCAAAACTAGGTAACGCCAGTAGCAGTTAGTACACAGTATGCAGGTGTTTACAGCCCCTGTGAAGCACAGATACACTGTTTAAACACACAGTGCCTTAAAGCCTTAAACAGTCGGGACGAGGACAGCGGGGTCCGTCTCACCAGCGATCCCTCCAGGTTGAAGGTCTGAGCGTTTTGGAAGAGCAGCATGACGTCTCTCTCCAGATCGCCCAGAGTGCGGTAGCGATGACCCCGAATCCTCTCCTGCAGCGAAGACACACACGGTCCGACTTTTACTGCACAAGGAAACGTCATAAGTGATGCTTGTGCGTTAACATTTTCTCAATGGTTGTTGTTGTTGTTGTTGTTTGGCTCATCCTTTGCTCTTTCAGTGACTACGGTTGGTTTTTCCAATCTAACCTTGATCTTCCTGAAGTCCACCGGCTTGCGGATCAGTTCGTAGTACTCCGGGAGCTCCTTTCGAGACGGCAGCTGGATGAAAACCTCGCTCAGCTGACGCCCGCTGGCGCTGCAGGGATCGGCATCGCCAGGGCGAGAAAAAGAATCTGACAGCTGATGGAATTAATTACATCAAATCCCCCCTTTTGTTCATGCGTTCCATTCAACAGATAACTGATAACTTCCATCGCTTTCTAGTTGAAACGTGGAATTTCAGATAAAACGCCACACGCTCTCTGTTAACCGCAGCCACACATTCAGTAAAAACATCTGATGAAAGTATGTTTGCTGTTTATTGATAACATCTGTGCAACATCGTCTTCTCACTGAATGTGAGCTACCTGTCTTTATACTTGATGACGGCGTCCACGATCTTCCTCATCTTCTTTGTGACTGTGAGGGGGTTGGGGGAGACTTTCTCAGCAGGCGGCCGCCCCCTCTTCCTCTGCCTCTTCCCGTCCTCGTCCTTGTCCCCTCGGCCTCGTCCCCCCGAGGAAGAGGAGGGGCCGGGGACATCCAGGTCGCGGTCCCGCTTTCTCTTCCGCGTCGTCTTCTTGTGACGCACCTCGTCCTCGATCTCGTCCAGCGTTCCCTCCTCTATCGCCTGCGCGGGAAACGCAGAGTGCAAGATTTAAAACAAAAGCATCGACGTCACAAAACGGGAAGTCGGCGATTTACCTCCAGAACAACAGGCGGAGTGACGTGTTTGGGTTGAAGACGACCTAGAGAGTCACGTCTGTTTGTTTGTTCATTTATCATAGACTTTATCGCCCCGTGCATCGACACTGCTGCTTCTCATCGCGGACACATTTGTCCCGTATTTTATCCTCTCGACCGGCAAACCGGCGTCTGCGGCGATCTCCCTCCGTGAATCCAACCCAAGTGTTTGCCATCCGCTCCTCTCACCTTCAGCCACTGCTTCTCCGTCAGCGAGTCGCTGTAGTCCACCTCCTTCCGCTGCCGAGATCCACGTCCAAACATTTTCTCCTCCTCCTCCTCGCAGGTCAGCCGTTCCACCTCGGCGTCGTCCTTCATGATCCAGGTGGGCAGCTCGTCCTCCTCCATCAGGCGAGGTTTTCGCCGAGGGTTACGGGCCTCCTCGCGACGGCGGTCCAGGTCCATGCGCTGAGGAAGAACCGCGAAAGGGCAGCGAAAAACAAGTAAGTCTGCAGGGGGAGGAGTCGTGTCTGTGTGAGCTGCGTGTCGTCATCCAAACACTGACCATGAACTGCTCAAACTCCTCCTCGCTCCTGGCGATCATCTGGTTGACCGTCTCGTCGTCTGGCACCTCGTCCTCCTCCTGCACACAGCAGGCACACGTTGGCGAGCGGAGCGCGAGCAAGCTCACCTTTTGAGAACACGTGTGCACGTGTTGCCGGGTTGCACGCTCGCACGCACATTAATGCGAAGGCACACTTCCTGACCCCAGACCTCGTCCTGCTCCTCGTGTTCCAGGATGGCCTGCAGGAAGGCCCTGCGCTCGTGGCTGGAGGACTTCTGGTCGAACATGCCGGCCTGAATGACCTTTTGGTCCACGTTCAGTTTGTACTTGGCAGCGGCCAGGATCTTCTCCTCGACGCTGTTGACCGTGCACAGGCGCAGCACGCGCACCTCGTTCTGCTGGCCGATGCGGTGGGCTCTGTCCTGCGCCTGCAGGTCCTGCAGGAGGACAAAGACGGATACTTCAGAATTACTGGTCACTCATTCAGTTGTTCTGCAGCGATGTATTATAATGCAATAGTTACTATAGTGTATTACCTTTTTACAACACATAGCGCATTATAATGTGTTTGAAGGTATTCTAAGTGGTCCTTGTTTGCTTTCGGTAAAGTAGAACTATTGTTTATATAATATGTAATATATGTTATATGTAAGTTCTGTGTGTTGCTATAGATTTAGAATAAGGATTAAACGTTTTCACTTCAATCAAACCACTTAAAGTTACTGATAATCCCATTAAAATGCTACAAACAGTGATTATAGTGCATCATAAAAAGATTATAAATTATTGAACTATCGAAATAATAACACACAATGAAGATATATGGTGTGTAAAAAAAAAAAAGACTATAAACTATAATTACAATATTCTAATAAGGGATTATATCTGGGCAAAAGAAAATGTTAAAGATCCAACATTTATTTAATGATAAATTTAATTTGTATTGTATTTAAAGGTAATTCCTTTAAATACAATGCAAATAATCCTGGAGCTTGTTGATTTAAAATATAACCTTGAAATAGTTACACCCAGCACTTCAGTGGTAACTGCATGAAGAGTAAATCCAACATTAGCAGCAGGATTTCCATTCAAACAGAACATTGTATCGTGCTGCATTTCCTTTGATTTACACCGTACTCAAAGTCTCTCTATATTATATCTCTATATTAGACATTAGCCGCTGCTACATCCTAAAACAAATTGAAGTTACGTTGATTAAACGATGTCTTTTGTAGATTCAAATAAAAGTGCATCACACCTGATGTGGGTTCCAGTCAGAGTCAAAAATAACCACAGTGTCAGCAGACTGCAAATTGAGGCCCAGGCCTCCAGCTCTGGTGCTCAGGAGGAAGATGAAGTACTCTGATCCCGGTTCATTGAATGTCTTCAGCAACATCCCTCGATCCTCAGCTTTCGTGGTGCCTGAGATGTACGAGGTGGCGAGAGAAGAGAAAAAAGCACATTATGGAATTACTAAACAAGTGTTACAAAAGGAAAAAAAAAAGGGAATTAAAGTTCACGACCAAGTAAACCGCCTCACCATCCAGGCGCAGATACTTGAAGCTGCGATAGGCAAAGTAGTCCTCCATGATGGTCATGAGCGTGGTCATCTGACAGAAGAGCAGCACTTTGTGGTTTGTGGCCCGCAGCTTCGGCAGGATTCGATCCAGCACCTCGAACTTCCCCGATGCCCGGTACAGGTCGAGGCTGTCGCACAGGTAGGCGGTGAGGGTGACGAGGGTGGAAGCGTGTTTCTGTGAGTGTGTGTTCCTGCCCTAAAGAGGAATTAGCACTTACCCCTGAACTATCCCACCAGAGAATCCTAAATGTTCAGAGAAAGACTCCTGCAAAAGCAATCAAACACGTCTTCTGTAATTCAGTCTGATCCGTTTGAGATATAAATATATAGACATTCATATATATCCAGCTCCATCCTTCCTATTGAATTGTATTGCCCACTCAATCATGTGTGAAAACAGATTTTCTGCCTCCCGGTTTGTGTGCTTATGGGACGCTGGCCTGGCCGTGGGCTTATGGGGATCAGTGGGTTGAACCTGCGGATAAACCTGCGCAGAACACCGGGAGACAAACAGCTGAGAGACTAAACGCTTTAGCGTCACCCTCCTCGGTCGTACCTCTATTTGCTGGAACATGTACGGGTGGTTACAGATCTTCCTCAGCTGCATGATGGTGTTCATCAGGGTCTTTGTGCCTCCTTTACCCTGGTAGAAATGTACACCTCGTGTTATCACTTCATTCAACCTTTATTCATTGATCTAGGCTTCAAATATAGCATTAAATATTTAAATGGAATTTTAACTTCAGCATTGGCAAAAAACAAACCGATCTATTTTTCATTCTGAACATTCTCTAAAAGTTCTTTATGAATGCCGAGGAGAAACGAGGCCTCTGGCCACAAAAATCTATCACTTTGCACTTTGCACATTTCCAGAAACGTTTTTGAATCTAAAACGCAAAACTGAGCAGAATAGAAGTTACTTGGGTGTTTATGTCTTCACCTTCTTGTCCTTCTCTGATCCGTCAGTGAGCAGGACGCCCTTGGCCTGCATGTGTCTGTACAGCACCCTCTGAAGAGACGACATGTCGCACTTGATCACGTACTCCACCTGAGGGAGAAGAGAGGCAGCGGCAACCAAGAGGTTCACTGGCATTGTGATCTTTCTTTCCCGTCCTTTAGGAGACGATCTGGACTAACACGTCTCCTCCCGTGGGTTTAGCTGGCTGAAACAGGTGAAACGTGCCTTCTCTGGGAGCTGAGCCTCCACCTCCTTCTTCAGTCTGCGCAGCAGGAAGGGCCGAAGCACTTTGTGGAGACGGCGAATGATCAAGATGGTCTCCTCTTCGTTGAGGTCCACCTGCAGAGAAAACCAAAGGCAGACGTATGGATAGAAAGTGCGCCGTCTGTCAAACGCATGTGACTCGGGCTACAAACCCAAGCGCTCCTCTCCACCTTTTCCCCCGTCATGGCGAACGGGGCGTTGAACCACTGCTCGAAGGTGCTGCAGCTCTTGAAGATGGTCGGCAGGAGGAAGTTCAGCAAGGCCCAGAGCTCGGGCAGCTTGTTCTGCAGCGGCGTGCCGGTCAGCAGCACCCGCCGCGGGGCCAGGTAGTGGGTGTTCAGCACCTGGGTCAGCTTGCAGTGGTGGTTCTTCATGCGGTGGCCCTCGTCCACGATCATGTACTTCCAACGAATCTGTTGGGTCGGAGGGGAGGGGGGGAGGGGAGCACGTCCGCTGTTACGCTCTCTGGTTGCATCCAACTCGAGCAAAAGCAGAACGTGCTTAGAAGGAAAGATCTCCGGTCCTCTCTGTCCTGGTGAGCCGCGCTGGCTCCGGGCCGAGCCCAAAAGACCCCCCGGCTGAGCCACGACGCCCACCTCAGAGCAGTCGGGAAGCCTATGTGACTACACGAGAGCAAAGCAGCACGACGGCCGCAGAGGGCAGTGGGGGGGGGACGCGGTATACAGGCGGTGTCAGCACCATGGAGAGAGCGCTGACACGCAGCATAGGGGCGGTCAGATTGGCCAGGATAAGACACTTTTAGACTTTTGGGGGTTTAGGGAGTGGGAGACGACAAAAACAAAAAACGCATAGAAAGCTCAAGCAAAGTAAAGTGATTGACAAGCAGGAATGAAGCCACGACGGCCTGGGTGTACTTTGTGCGTCCTTTGGCCCGGTTGTTCGCGCCCCGGTTCTCACCTTGGCCAGTACTTGTTTGTCCTTGATGATGTACTCGTAGGTGGTGAGTAAGACGTTGAACTTGCCGCTGCGAAGCTGGGGGACGAAGGCTCGTCGGGCAGCCGGAGACCCCTGAAAGCACAGAAGCCAACTTCCACATAGGCGTACGTTTTAAAAAGACAAGTATAGCGGTTCATTCCAAGTGCTGCACAAACCCACCTTGTAGGACACTTTCACCACCGTCGGTGCCCACTTGTCGAACTCATACACCCAGTTAGACAGGGTTCTGCCAACGAGAGACAGCAACTCATTCTCAACACCACAGAATCCTCCCTGTCGCTCCTTCCACAAAACAAAGAGGTTACACTAACGAGAGGGGCACAATGATGAGGGACGGCCCGTTGAGTCGCTTGTGCTCCATGAGGTACGTGATCAGGGCGATGGTCTGGATGGTTTTTCCCAAACCCATCTCGTCCGCCAGGATCCCATTCAGGTTGTTGTTGTAGAGGGAAACCAGCCACTCCAGACCTTTAATCTGACAGACACGGAGGGGGGGGGACGTCAGGCGGAACCTTTACCCCCTCGTTCAGTTCACTTTGTGCGATTGATCGGATTGTGCTTTGCTCACCTGATACTGTTTGAGTTGTCCGTTCACTAACAAACTGGACTGTTTCTCCACCTTCTCCGTCACGGCGTGAGCCACAGAGTAATACGACTGGAGGCCTCGGGCGAAAGCTGCGCCGCTGTATTCGTCATCCACATCCTGCTTAGCGTTCCTGCAGAGGACACGCCGATCATCACTAGCAGGTGACGTGTTTAGTTCACGGTGGCGCCGAGAGGATAACTGGTACTTGGGTGTAAGGTACTCACTCGATTATGTGCTGGACGTCCACCTCGGACACATCTTCGCTGTCAGGGTCTGCAATCTTCTTCTTCTCCTCCACCTGAGTGGCTGATGGCTGAGGCTCCTCCTCTTCCTCCTGCCGGACAGCTGGTCAGTGACGGGTGGCAGTGAAAGTGGAACTGGCTCCATGTCAACATGCCGCTTAACAAGCACCCACCTCCTCGTCTTCCTCCTCCTCCTCGCTGTCCTCACTGTCTGAGCGGGGAGCCACCTCATAACTGGACCGTGTTGTGTACAATCACACACACAAAAGCACAAGTTAAATAGTCAAAACTGGCTCGGGCAATGAGGAGAAAATCCACAGACGATATCTAGTCTCGTATCATGGAATCGATCTATTGCCCCGGACTCATCCCCCCCCCCCCTCCCCCTCTCCAGCTGCTCTCACCCGGGGTTCATCTCCAGCCAGGCGTCCAGCTGTCCGGCTTTGGGAGCGTCCGGTCCCGTCAGGATGTTCCCGCTGTCCACGTGGATGACCTTCACAGGCAGGTCACTCATCTGACTGGTCTCGTCCAGAGGCTGCGGGGGGACCAAGCGGGTTATCTTTTGGGCGGGGCTCAAACGGAGGCTGGCTGAGTAGAGGTGAAACTTGAGACGGTTTAGACTGCGTGTCAAATTAAGTTTAACATCCAATAAGTGTCTTCTGCTCACCTCTCCATCAGGACCCACGGCGGCGGTCTGAGCCTCGGCGATCTCCAACTGCAAGACACGGAGGAAGCCGAGTGCTCACCACAGAGAATCCCACACAACTCAAAGTCACCCCTAGCTTTCTATACCTTCCTCTTTTTCTTCTTCTTCTTCTTCTTCTTCTCCTTGAGGGCCTGCACCGCCTTGTGAGCTCGCACCAGCTCGGTGAGGTTGGCCACGTACTCGTCGGTTTGCTGCAGCAGGTAGGCCAGACGCTTGTCCTTCTTCTGGTCAATCAGTTTGCGATAACCCTCCTCGTCCTCAGCCTGTTGGGGGGGGGGCACATGTTACGGCGTGGCCGGTGTGGGACGTGCATGCTGGAGGGACTGTGCCCGTGGTTCCTCCTCACCATGAGCCTCCTCATCCGCTCTTTCTCGATGCGCTCGTTCTCTTTCTTCTGCTCGCGCTCGGTGTTGGCGTGGTAGGTGGCCACCGCTTTGGTCACTTTCTGCATTCGGCCTGTGATTGAGCGGTGGTACTCTTTGAAGTCTTTGGCGTGCTGCAGGATGCTGTTGAGGTACTCCTGCGACACGGGGGAGAAGAGAGGGGTCACGGAAGAAACGCTTCTTTCTAAGATCTCCGCTGTCCTTCTACCTGATGTTTCTGCCGGCGCTTGCGCTCTTGCTCGATCTTCTGCTGTTTCTCCAGTTTCTCCGTGATGCGCGCCTCTCGCAAGGACTGCCGCTTGCTTCGCTTGTAGGCCTTGGCATCGAGGGCGGTCTCCAGAGTGGTGTCGCGACGCATGCACACCACCACCTCCTGACGCAGCTGCGGGTGGTTTTAACGCGCAAGACATCAGCGCCACTACAAACCCGGGTAGAAGATGTGACGTGGGTTAAAAAAAAAACCCAGGTGAAGATGTGCTCACCTGTCTCTGGAAGTTCAGCAGCCGGAGGGCTTTGAGCTCTATGGTGGCTTTGGTACGGAGATCACCGGCCAGAGAGCCCGGCAGGTTCTCCAGCTCCGCAATGCGATGAGTGATACGCGCCTGCAGCCTGAGGGACGGACACGCTGCACTTCATTGTGGGCTTTTCTACTTTGGATTTTGGCTACTTATGGTAGACGGAATACGAGGAAACATACGTGGTGAATGTTTGGGATTTTTAATAATAAATTCAGTAACTCTGGACAATGTACTGTTAATGGAACAATAAACAGTCACCATTCAACTAGGACCGCAACAACGAATCGATAAAGTCCCGGTCCACGTTGTTCCGTGTTGACGTGAGGGACGTAACGAGCCTCCTGTTTACTCGTCATCCAGCTGATCAAGCTAGCGTTAGCTCACTAATAATAGCAGTAAAGCAGGTAGCAAGAATAAGACACGTTTTCATTTACTCGCCTCATTTTTCAATGTGTTGTCTGATATTTTGTGCTTTGTCCCATATCGGTTATTGTTGACAAACATATTTGTGTGTGTTGTACTTTTTAATGCTGTCATATACGGTAGTCCAGTGCGCTTGCGCATGTACTGTGGGTTATACGGTAGTTGATGCCTGTAAAGGGAGACACACGGCGATCCATTAAATCAACTAAGAAGCCTCTAATGCATTTATTTACAAATGCCATTTTAAAGTCATCTCATAGCACTTGGTTGTTTTGTAGCTGTATGCATTTACTTAACTTGACTTAACTACAATGATGGTAATAATTTAATGAACATGAGGGTGTGTTTGTGAGTGTAGTATAGAGAACTAGTTCTGACGAATTTGAGGTTCTGTTTTAGAATAAAGGGTTGGAAATTAAAGCTTTTTAATGCCGTTTTTTTTATTAATCCGATTCATCGATTAATCGAAGAAATAATCGACCGATTAATCGATTATCAAATTAATCGCTAGTTGCAGCCCTACATTCAACCCTTCACATTAAGTCATTTTGAGCTCCAGAAAACGTACTTGGTATTCGGGGAAGAGTGGATCCCCAAGCGTACCTGAACTCCCTCTCCTGCAGTATCTCCACCGGGTCCAGGCCGCAGGGCTTCTGGATGGGGGTAATGCGGTTCTGCTTGCCGTGGTAAGGCATCATGGGAGTGGGCTGTGCTGGCTGGCCGGGGGACTGAGTCTGGGGCGGTATCACTGGGGAGGCAGCGGGGGGAACTGAGGGCGGGGCGGGAGAGGGCCGACCCAGCCGGCTGAGCGGGGACAAGCTTTTGGGGTGCGTTGGAGGGGGCTGCTGCGTTCACCATGGACCTGGAGGAAAGGGGAGCGGGAGAATGAAGGAAAGTTGATATATACAGTAGATGAATAAAACATTTTGTCAGTGTCCCTCCCTATAATTCTGTTCTTAGTAGGGTTCAAGCAACATGCTGACTACAGGCCACTGAAACCTAAAATATTCTGCTGAGTCTGTAATTTGATCAGGTACTCTTCAACTGTGAGTGACAGAATCTAGAACAAAAATCCAGAAAATCACATTGTATGATTTAAAAGTCCCCACTGTACCTTCCGGCCAGGACTTCGGGGGTCCGTTTGGGTTTTGTCCCTGCATCCCGGCCGCACCCGATGGGCCTGGAGGAGGCATGTTGGGACCCATCATTCCTAAAGAAGCAAATGTGTTCTCATCGATTTGACTCTTCAATTTGAATTTTGGCTCATTGACAACTGAAAAAAATGTCTTCAATCAACTAGAAGATCTATAACTCTGTATCGCACACTTTTCCCGTTGATGCTCACCATGAACTCGACTGTAGCCTGAGCCCATCGGCGCTGGTCCTGGTCCTCCTGGCAGACCCATCGCCCCCCCCCCAGGAGCCAGGCTGGGCATGGGCTGCTGCTGCATCCCGGGCATCGGCCTCTTCCCTTGGACGGCCATCTGCAGGTGGTCTGGCAGCGGCTGCCCCCGGGCCAGCATCTTATAAGCCATGATCTGGGCCCTGAGTTGGTGAAGCTGGTTCTGGTTGAATGGAATAGGGCCCGCAAGACCTCCAGGGCACGGACTGCCACCAGGCTCAAGGGCAGAAACTAGGCCAGAGACAGCGGGGCCCAAGCCGGGTCCGGGGCCAGAGCTACCCGGAGGTCCAGGCCGGTTGTTGGCACCCAGGGTGTGTGGATCCCCACCGGGACCGTCTAATGGTGCAGAGGCCAAGCCGGGACCACCAGAAGAGGAGGAGGATGGCAGAAGAGGGCCAGAGGGGGGGCCATTTGAAGGGACGGGGCTGGAGTGGTCAGACCCACCCAAAGGAGAGTGGTAACCTGGAAGGACAAATTTGACATTTTGGGAAACCTTTTGTCAGACTGTGAACTATCCCAGTAAATAATCACAGTAAAACCCCAGAACGATGCTTTTGTGGTAATATGGAATGAAGGAGATACAACATGATAATTAGTGAGCAATTTGTTTCACTATTGTTAAAGTCTTAATGCTAAGATGAGCAACAAGCTAGCTGACCGTAAGCAGTCCCCATGTGTTTGCACAATAAGAGAATGAGAATTGGCTGATAAAGTCTTGCTACAACAGAGAACCTCTCCATGAGCCGGCCAGGCCACATGACTGCACAACTCGTCTTGCACAACGCTGGGACGGTTGAAATTGTGTAAGATACGTTTGCGTCGGCCGCCTACCTTGCGAGTGTTGATCCAGAGGGCTGGGTGGGGGCCCCATGCCGCTGTGCCCGCCCTGTCTCATAGACAGTCCCTTCATCTGACTGAAGCGGCCCTCCTCGCCCAGGCTCTTCTCGTGCAGGCTCTCCATGGACTGTGGGAGAAATCAAACTGGGTTCAGACGAAAAACTTTCATCTGAAAACGTCATAAAAGGGCAAAAGCTGATTGAAATAAATGTTCGTAGTTGCAAAATGATGACGTGGCGATTGGAACACACAAGGTCCTGCATTGATTAATATGGAGCCAGAGTTTTTTTTAGTATAAGACACCAAAAGTAATAAGTGCTCTCTTTAAATTAGTGCTGCAACGTGTCTGCACGTGCGCATTGTGATGGAGTGGCGCCATGAAGGAAATTTAAAAAGGGTCAGTGGCAGTTGGCCAATAGAGGCATAATATATATTATACTGAATTCCCTGTGAGGGTGTCATAGTGTTATTTGCTGTTTTTCTGTTTTAAATATGAAATATTTAACTGTAAGTAGTAATGTGTTTGTAATTGTTTTGCATAAATCAACCTGAGATGTTTGCTGAAATTGATTCGACCATGTGGAACATTTTGCACCTCACACACACAGACCACGTCTGAGGATTATCTGAATGTGATTTTTTCATTCCGTAATATCCAAAAACAATGTTATATTTTCCGGAAATTAAATTTAAAAATAACTGTTGACACGCCACCGTCGGTGCATCTCAGCGAGACACGGGCGTCTCTGTGTCCTTACTTTGTGCAGAGGGTGCATGCTGTCCTGGCCGTATCCAGAGGGCCCTGGTTGGGGGTGTCCAGATGTGGGGGGGCCAGGGCCCATCATACTGTGAGAGGAGCCCGGGGAGGGCCCGGAGCCGGGGCCCAGCATTGCCCCCGGTGAGGGACCCCGACCAGGGGAAGGACCAGGGCGAGGAGTGCCTCCCATGGGGGGGTCTGGTGTTGCCATGGCCCTGGATCTCCTGCTCCTCGGTGAGCAGCAGGGACCTGAGAGACGGCGGAGAGGAGGACGACATCGGACTTTGCAAAAACAGTAAATCTAAATTAGCACTCTTTTTGGGGTTTCATCAGACGAGGCGGGTATCTGGACAATCCTGCAGCCTCACTGCAGTTCTGTAAAATGATTCAATCATCTTTGCAAGAAATGGGCGAATCTTGTCCAACGTGTCAGATGAAGACTCTCCATTCCCTGGTTAAGCAGCAGCAGATCACCCGGTCCGGCTGCAGGAAATACCCCTTGCACTTGAAGTGAACACGGGGGGGCAATCACAGTAAATGATGCACATGAGCCCACGCCACCCAGAACCCCCCCGTCTTAAATATAAATATAAAGAAGGGGAATGGCGGAGTGCGCTTGTGCGACTGACCTACCCGCGTGAACAGGACAGGCGGTGCCGGGTGAATGTTTGCGCTCCCGGGTTGCTATTTGCGGGGGACGGAGAGGACGACGCAGCGGTTGACGCAATTAGCCCGCTCGCCCTCTTCGCAACGCGCCTCCGAGCGTCGGTTCGTCTCACCGCCGCGGCGCGTGCGCGCCCTCCTCTATGACCGAATGTCTAGTCACGGCGGCGCGCCAGTGCGCATGCGTGAGCGGCTACGGCCAGGCTCGCGTTGTGGCACCTTAAAGGTGCGTTCAGACCACTACTATTGCAGAAAATGTATGACAAAGCACAAAAAGATCATGCATGTATTTTTTTTGAAGGCTCGTTTTTTTACAATGCAAATATTTTAATATTCCTGAGAAGTTGCTGACTACTTTTTCTTTTCTTTTATTATACAGAATGATTTTCACGGAACCAATATAAAAATACATTTACTACACACCAATGAGTGGCAGCCATCTAAACCACTCCACAAATAACCACGTTAATGCATTGCAAAGACAACGTGCAGCGCTAACTTAGTGAACAATGGACATAAATAATATAACGTGCATGTGCTGTGTGACTGTATTAACCTTGGAATAGCAGAACCTGTTTACAGTCTAGGATTTTTTTAAATTGTATTTCCTGTTGGTACTTGGTTATTGTATGTAGACCTCATTGTACGCTAATCCACTGAGATTGTATTCTGAAGAAAAAACCTCTGAATAGCCTCATTTACCACAGCGCCTTTTGGTCTAAAATGTCTATAATCACACACAAATAATAACAACACATGTGTCAGATTAAGTTTAAGTTAAGGTTGAGTTTACCTGTGGATTCACTTTGTTACAGAGCTCCAGCATCCCCAGTTAAAATCAGAGTGAACAAAAGAATGAACAATATCACATGGCAGGTGAGCCTCACAGGTTGAATGGTGGACGACTAGTTTCCGGTGCCTCGCAACCTACAACAGGAACAAAAGACACTGAAGGAATAACATTGTGAAGACCACACATTGCATTTTGTTCCAGCGTTAACGGTCAGTGCTTCCTCTGCAGTCGTCGTGTGGGGACCAAACAGCGCGTCTCTTTAAAACCAGTACGAGGTGCAAGTAAAAGCGGATTCCAGTGCTTGAAGTTTAATTAGGACAACAAATGAAAGAACAGTAGTAGAGCTTTCACGTAGAAAAGGGACAAACTAAACACAAATGACATCGCAACAAAACCACTCAGCTTGAACGGGTCTTATGGACTGCAGAACTTCGTAGAAGTAAAACCCAGAACCTTAACTTAAGTAGAACAAAAAGAGCTATTCTGGGTTTTTACTTTGCAACTACATCCAGCGCACTTAAAATTCCAGTTTCACGGTACAAGGAGAAGACACACATCTGTCTCCAGCTGCAGGAAGGATTCCTCTCACCCCGACCCGGGAGCTTGAGTCCTCGGAGCAGATTCCTGATCAACGAGCGCCAGGAGGAGGGGATCAAGGCCGCGGTCATTTTGGAACAACCAGGCCAGACTGTAACAGTAGAATGAAGTGACATCTGCTCAAGACGCTCCTGGAGGAAAGAAGGAACCTCTGTGCAACAGACACTCAAATATGTCCGTAGACTTAGTCAGGACTAGCAAGAAACACTCGCACATGCAAAGACGTCATAAACCCGATAAATAAATTGAAGATTTAAAAACACGTTCAACAGGTGGTATATCATACAGGTCGATAACAATATTAGGCACCGCTCACCCTCATAACTGACCAGTGAGCTAATCAAATCAAACTAATCAAAACTATTTCGGGGCGTCTGATGAAGTGGATCAAAATTACTTCAAGTAGTTGGAACATTCCCGACCATCGACCAAATTGAAAAGTGAAAATATGCTCCAGACACGACCCATGAAGTTAGCTTATAGTACCCATCCGCACGAAAGGGGCAATAACAGAAGCCGGTTTTTACTTCTGTTGGGCAGAAGACGATAAAGCACTAAAGCGTCACGTCCACAGAACCAAGTCATTCCCTTTGGAGGGAAACGGGGTGTCCTCTTCCGCCCCCTACGGGTGAGAGCTAGCAGATCATCCTGCGAGGAGCCTCACAGGAAGACAAACTCGTCACTGCTTCTTCGGTTGTTACCCGTGCTCAGGGTGCCGGGGGGCAGAATGTGGGCTGCGGGGCCAATGTGGCTGCTGCTGCTGTGACCGTCCAGTCCGTAGTCCTGACCCTGGCCCTCTACGAAGGTAAAGATGGGGTACTTCTCCTTGGACGACGACAGGGCCTGGGGGAGAGAAAGAGTCTAGTCAACAAAGATGTCTCAGCCAGAGTCAAACACAAAGATCTGTCAAGTCAAGCCGCTATTACGTTTGGGTCTTCAGACTAAATTAAACAGAACTGAAATCAATGATTCATTTCCATTCTGAAGGAATCTTACTTCCTCTACTAGTTTAGATAAGTCTTGCTCATTTAATCTTTGACAAAAAAAGTATAATGATTTAAACATATTAAATAAGGAGGAGGTGGAAAATGCAAATTTACGTTTTTTCAATCCCATCAGGTTGCCAAAAGTTACCACCCAATAGTTGTATAGTGACATATAATAATCACTCATTGTACCACACATTTCCTTCAGACCTTTAAACTCAAACAGCTGCTAAATGCAAATTAGTTTTTTTTGTAGTTTTTTTGCGAAAAATACATTTAGTCATTTTAATCCTTCTTAGTTTTAGTCGACAAAAACTAGACTAAAATGTAATTAGTTTTAGTCACATTTAATATCCATATTAAACTCCTTTTCTTCCCTTCTCAGGCCCAGGGACCCCCTGTGTTGTGTCTACAGCTGCATAATAGTCTAGCTTGCAGTACTTGGTTGTCCATCAGATGTCCCTTCTTTTTTGACTCGCGGCCACAGTGGGTTGTAAAATGTGACGGAGGAGCCGGGCCAAGAACAAATGGTTGAAGTGTTTGTGTGAGCTGATATAAATGACATGTGAAAAATCATTACATGAAAGGATTTTAACAAATGGAAAAGCATTTATTTGCAAGGAAATTTAACAAATTGGCAAAGGTGCAACAACTTCATGAGGACCAGGGATCTAAACGCAACACTTTGTTGTCTTTGTCTGTTTACTTGCAATGCTTTTGACACTTCATGGTCCTTTATTGTTTCCACTGTCCCAACTGAAGAGACCTTAACGTCCTACAATCGCTGCAAGACATTATTTTCTTTGCTTCAGAACCTGCAATGAGTTTATTACGTTAGACGTGTTTGTAACAGAGCGTCTCACCCAGCCGAGGAAACGCTGCCTGCCGTCGCCAGAGAACAGAGCAGAAAGGTCCGACAGTCTTTAAACGTGTCTTCATGTTTCTGTGAAGCAGCGCGGCTTCAGCCTGCTAACAGGCAGCTGAGCTAAACTAACGAAGCCACATTCAAACTCGCCGAAGCGTAAAATAGTCGTCGCGGTCCGCAGTCGGTGCACAAGAACCACCGCTGCACCGATGCGAGCGTTCTGGGTTCGTGGATGACGTCATGACGCGTTAATATCCGCCGTACTTTGTCTGTCAGCTGCGTGCGAATTTAGGGGGGAAAAAGTATCGTGACTTCGTCAACCACCAACATGTTGGTCTCGTTAACGAACGTCAGCTCAAAGGGATTCAGCTGGGCCACACGGATTGGCTGAATGAATGATTGAGTGAGTGAGTGAATAAGTGTACAGGTGATTCCAGGAAGGTGATTTGTTGAGAGCCCCTCCCGCCCCCGTCGGATCACTTCGCGTCTTACAGTAGTTTGGGTGGATCCGTAGCGGACCTCTCTTAGTGGATCTCTGCCTCCCTTCCTTTATCCCAGTAGGACGTTGTGCTCTGATACTTAGAGACAGGAGGGTGTGAAAACTCACCACGCTAACAGCAGAACAAAGGGACTCAAAGTCCTTCTTGTTTTTGGCATAAAAGCCGATGGTGCAGCTGGGATCCATGCGGGTGAAGGGCATCTTCTTGGGGGAGCTGCAGTGGAAGGACTACAGAGCGACAGACAGGGAACAGAGAATAAAAAGGTCATTGCGAGTTCATGACGGGTCACCTTATCTCCATTAACTGTCAAAACATTATTGAGCAAAGTCACATGGTCAGAAGTTCAATATGATCCAATAAAGGTCCAGACAGACTGAGGCGAGAGGGTTTATCACCCGTTTACAGACATTTACACGGATGAAGACGATGAAACCAACCTCTGGGGAGAAGTCGACCTGAGAAACATCCACCACGGGCTGACAGTAGTGAGGGTCCAGATACAGCAGCTGCTCATCTAACACACAGGAAGAAGAATCCAAGTACTGCATTAAAGTATTAAATCACAAGAACCGGTGTGGAAAAAGTACGATGAGCTCCAGCTTCCTTTGAAATGAGTCCGATAATGCAGACAAATACAAGCAGTCAACCACGGAGTTAAAAAAACAGTGTCAGTGGGATGTTCTGAGACACGCTCTAGTTTCTTGGAAGTTGTTCCTTCTTCTTTTGCGTGAACTGTTGATGATTGTTCCAGGAAGGGAAAGTCAATGACTACCAAGAAGTATTTTGGGGGAAGAGTTTTTAGGTTCGAGCCGGTCACATTTTTCTTCTTCACTGTGACTGCAGGCACACGGCTTTGAGGGAGACAGCGCTTCACAACTTCAATAGGAAACAATTAGACATTTACATTTGTAACAAGCCTGCGTTCAGCCCACAACGAGCAAACGTCTGAAGGAGGCCGACGCTGCATCGGGGCCCCGGAGCCCTTATTGCTGCACTGAGGGAAACGTTGAAGCAGAATATTGAGTTTGGAAATAAACTCTTAAGAGGAGTCCTGGTAAATAAAAACGGTGTATGAGCTGAAGGAATATTCTGACAATGTTAAACATGTTATTGGCCTCGACCCAAGCGGCCCCTTCATGTGACCATCCTCGCCAGTAGTATAAAGAGAGGCTCAGCGCTTTGAACGTTACATAAATAGTCACGGAATAAAACAGCTACAGTCAATGTTGTGCGCTCAGCCCTACAGCAGCTGACTCACAGTGCACATTGTACCAGACGTGGACATGAGACACACACGAGACAACCAGCGGGGACGGGAGCTCTATGGCGCCGTTACCGCGCGGCGCTTCCAAACAACACCGGGCACCTTCTTCGTAAACCCCTCCATTCCTTTAACAACAAGAGAAAGCTCTCACCTTGGAAGCCAACGAAGTAAAGGGAGTGCTTCGGTTTGCCCCCGATGATTCCAATACAACAATCCAGCTTCAGGATGTTCTGCAAAAGAACACGAGCGTTTTCAATATGAGGCTGGAGTCATAAGACAGAACTCAAGTTCTTTGGGAATCATCACTCCAGTGAGCTCAGAGGGGTCTGTGGGTGGTGGTATTCAGACCTTGACACATTCGATGTAGGACGGGTTGAGGGCCTCCCCTCCCAGCCGCACAGGCACCAGTATGATGATGGACTTCCAGGCTTGGCTGCACGGGTCAGAGGGCGTCTGTCCCAGAGACAGGTCACATAGATGCACCACGTCCTCTTTGTACACTGCAGTGCACAGAAACCAAACACCTGTTGAACTGGACCCTCACAGGGACACATAGGGTGGGATGTAGGTATATATGGTGTGGCAATCTCACCTGTACAATCCTGAGCCACATATACAGCCAGGTTGTGGAGCACAGAGGTTTTGGCCACCGCTTTTCTGAAACAGAAAAAAATCATAATTCCAGTCAGTGCGAAGAAGTAAATTCCTGGCTTGTAAAAAAAAGCCCTCCGTCTCCATGTTTACCTTAGAATATGTGCCACTATAGAGGGGCCGTACCAGTCACCTGCTTTCTTCCCTGAACTTTTGCCAATTTCTACCAGCTGGTGAAGCCCGAACGGTGCCGGTGGCAGATCCCCGAACCAGGTGAGCAGTTTGTGGTGGATGGGCTCCGCCTGCCTGTCACGCACGGACTCCGGTCTCTTCCTCTGGGTGCATTTTGGCGCCTGATAACCAGTCAGGGACTTTTCTGGGGTGTTGGACCCTCGCGGAGAGCCAAAGGAGGGGATGGGCACTCCTCCAGCCCGGGCTGGGGAACGTGGTCTGAACACCTCAAAGTCCACTTCGGTTAGCTCCTGAACATCTGGCCAAGCCCAATCTGAAGGGTTGGGGGGGGGCAATTAGCAACTAGGCTAAAGCATCTAGGAATGTGATTGAATGTGATTTTGATTGAAGAGTAGAGAAAAATTAGTAAAACTGAGTCACAAATAACATGCAGGAAATACATATTGTAGCAGAACAAACCTCTGGGCATCAGATGGATCAGGAGCCCTTGAGCCAGCAGCATCTGTCCACTGCGCAGCATGCAGCCCCAGCCACAGTCTGTAGTCCAGGTGGAGCCCTCCAGCTGAGGGAACTCCCTCCTGTAGGTCAACCAGATCCTGGACACAAAAGCCAAACGAAACCGCTCCACCTCATCTGGGAGGAGGCGATAGGGTGGAGGACAAGAGGACGAGAGGGAGGAAACAAGAGAGAACTCTTACACTTTGGTCGATTTAAACGTCTTATGAATTGGATCTCATGTTTATCTAAAGAGATTTTAAAAACACGTTTCTGTATCTGGAGCTTACCTTCATTGTTGAGCAGGTAGGAGTGTCCCAGGACTGTGACCGGCGAGATCTTGTTGAAGGATGTTTTAGACTTAACAGTCCAACCTGGAGAAAGAGCAGCAGATTGTATACTGCAGAGGCTCTGTCCAATAAATATACACATGTATATAAACACACATTGGCCAAGTAGCAACAAAGACAAAGAACAAGACCGAGGTACAAAGTACGAACCATATTTGACGTTGTTCCACGCTGTCATCAGTTTGGCTTTCAGTTTGTCCATCTCGTCGGGCTCTCCTGTGGCCTCTCTGCTGGGATCTGGAGTGCGCGCTGGCCGGGGGCCGAAGCTGCCCTGCCGCTCCAGGGGCCGCTGCCGCCGGCTCTCCACCAGCTCGTCCTGCATCGCCCCCCCTGCGTACTGCACCGCGCTGGGGGAAACGGAGTTCATGCCTCGGAGCCTTCAGAGCTGGACGCTACTGCTCCTCATTGAGGGGGACGAGGTTGAATTAGTATCATTGATAATTACGGCCCTGTGGACCCCGGTGAGACGGACGTGCTGATGGCCGTCCTGAGGTTTCCTCCATCGTCCCTTGTTTAATTTGTGTGCTAAAGGCAAAGTGAAGATCCTTTTTTTTCAAACTAGTTACATTGTTGGAGCTGTAAATGGAGTTTACAGCTGTAGGCCAAAAGGAAGTCCTCACTTCCTAAAAAATAAGAATAATTGTTGCGTCGTCAGTCTACAAGGAAATCATCTGTCCTCAATTACCAGTTTCACAACAACACATCAGGAAAGTACCAGTGACTTTTCCACACAGAGTAGCAGTTTTAACTGGGAGCAACAGTACCACTGCGAGCAGCCACTGGTGTCACTAATGGGAACAATTCTGTGCAGCACAAATGTCACGTGACTCGCATTTGACAACAGGCATCTCGGGTTTTTGAGTGATGGTGAAAGTCAGCTGATTATGGTGGCTGTCATCATGTCTCAGTGCAGATCAATAAAGCGGTTGACGTTACGTTAACGAGGACGGCGGGTCTATTCCGTTGGTGCCGTGACGTCAATGCAATATCAGGCTTCTGTTCGTCTAACTAACACACGATATGAGTCGAGCCTATTAGTCACGGGACCGCCGTCAGTTCATGTTACCTCTCCACTGACGCACAGCTAGCGCTAATTCAACGGCAAACAACTAGCGTTACGTACCTGCTGTGAAACACGGCTACGAAGGTCGACGCCTTGTGGTAATCTGACTCATTCCTGCGATTTCCTCGGCCCTTCGTCCACGGCCGGAGTCTTCTTCACGGGTGGATGTGATGCTAATGAATTAGCGTGCCTAAGCTAGCTAGGTGGAGCGTTCCCAGGCGCTAGCTCCCGGCGTTAGCTGCCTGTCATTCAAGCCCGACTGACCAAAGATATCAATCCTTTCAAAATGAAATAGACGCAATAAACCAGTTCCTCCATTTAACAAACAGGCTACTTTGTGCACTACAAGTTGAAGATAATCCAGTCCGCAGTGGCCGTTGATCTCCTGACCAGCCGCCGCATTAGCGTCTCCCTTTGACAGCAACGGTCATTTACTTCCTGTTGTCCTTTCCTGACACAACGCCATTGGTTGAAGTCAGCACGGTGGAGAAGCTGATTGGCTTGTTTCCGAGTGTCAGACATTGGCGGCGTGCCATTGGCTAACGTGACTCTTAAATGCACGTAATACAGTCACGTGACAGTATTTAGACGCCTGGTATATATATTTGCGAGCGACAATATGTATGTTTAATATTCATATAATATATATTATGATATAATGTGACTCTTAAAGGATAACAGTTTATGTAAAATAATTCATAGGCCTGTTCTTGTTCGACATTATGAATTGTTATGGCAAGAAAAACACCAGTAAAAGAGGATCTATATTTCCCGTCAACAGGTAAATGATGCGTCCCAAATGGAATAAAGCCACATCAACCATATTATTTATAACTGCTTGGACACGCACGTTTTTTTCTGAAGGGAATATAACTATTTATTTCATGTTCACTTTATCATTATGCAGCCAAACATTATCACTTGTTGTGATAATATAACGGTTGCTCCTGCATTGTTATCATAGATTATAGTCACAGAAGAGTAAGCGGTGGCAAGTCTAGGAAGAAATCTTAGAATCTTTATTCCACATACTGCACTTGGTGTCTGCATTTGAATCACATCTATCACAAACAAAAATGCCCCATGGTACAAATAAATACACGTTCAGTGAACAGAGCAATGTGCCCTTTATACTTGGACTTTTGTGTTCAATTCTAGAATACATATCTGTATAAAGTAGCCTACATTTTATTTTTCATCAAAGTAACTTACAAACTACCAGCAAATTGTGCATTTATTACTACTCTCGGTCAACAACAAAAAAGAATTCTCAAACATGTAGCACTAGCATAGACACCATTGATTGGGAAAAGGCCTGAAAATGAGTCATTTTTCTTAGTCAAGTTATCAGAGCTGACCTGATGCCTCATTTATTACATTGAGATATAAAATAACTGTTTCCTATCAGTAGAATATATAAGACGGTATATTATATTAAAAGTGTTAATCTCTATCCCAGAAGATATAATTAACAGTCACGTGAAGAACACAACAGCAGAAAAGGAATAAATAAATGTTTCAAGTGTTCATTTAATAATTACTGCAAATATTGTTGTCATTAGAAACATGAATGCATTTCCAGCAACTTAACGGCTGATAGCCTTTTTTCTGCTTCATTTCAGTGGTCAAAGATCTCACTTCAGCAGATTATTAATGAACATAATGGAATGGAAAGATGTTTGTCCGTGGATGTTTCAAACCACTGGAGGGCAGTAGAGTACGATGCCGAATGAAAAACAAAACTTCTGTTTGATGCATGAACTGCATGACGCTCTCTGCTGGGGGGGGGGGGGGGGGGGGGGGGAACACTCTGGGGCCCCCCCTTTTTAAGGGGGGGTGGTTTTCCTTTTAAAGAGTAAAAAAATCCCTATTGCCTTAAAGATGGCTTTTATAATGCCCCACTTGTCCGGGAAGACCCTCTCCAAGAAAAACAGACGGGGAAGAACCCTCTACTTTTTTTTTGGAAAAGTAAATGCATGTCTATGTGAAGCTGTTCTTGTTGGTATAACCGTGACAGCAGTGCTCACACACACACAGCAGTGAATGAGTAGTTACTGGGAACCAATAGGAGCAGCACAAGTGCTTTCTCCCTGTGAGCATCTGACCAGCGTTCTTGCTGATAATGTTAAATCAGTGCGTTGCCTCTCAAAAACGTGTGTTTTCACATGAATCGGTCTTGACTACCTAGCTTGTGGTTCCTAACAACCTAACCCTTACAGCAACAGGTTCATAGTGATATATTGTACCCTGCCCACATCCACACACCCTACCTCATCTCTAGAGCCCTTTAACAAACACATAACTGTATGCTACATCCATAACGGCCTACCTTTCCTGCTAGGGCTCAAAACGACACACGGCTTCACTGTATATGTGCTTACGATTACTTTTTTTTAATATACTATATCTACACACATTGTCTTCACTGAGCCTGTGGGATTTGTTAATGAATTCGGAAAGTATTCCGCAAAGCCTGTTAACGTCACAGGATCCGATTTCCAGTTTGACCCGCTGAGTCACCCACGAGCGGCAAGAATCCCCGCACGCTTCTTAAGTCACTCGCAAAACACACTCGCATCCCAGTTTGTAGGAGCGTGGCGTGTGTGTGTGTGTGTGTGTGTGTGTGCGTGTGTGTGTGTGTGTGCTGTGGCAGCCCTCCTGCAAAGGGGAGATAAGCGCTGAGCCTGAGCTCTGTCAAACACGCTTTCCTCTGCAGGACGACGCAGCCCCCAAAAAGCAACGGAAATAGACCCACGGTGGCTTTACACACACACACGCACACACACACACACAATCCCCGGCGACTGGCAGAGCCAGACGTGACATCCAGTGACAGAGTGCCTGCTTCGGCTTTGTGTGAACGATGCACAGCGACTCCGTAAACTGCCGGATAAAGAAATGAGCTCAATCATCTTCAGCTGCTTGCTGACCCGCCGAAGCCAAACTGAGGCTCTGCTGCCCCACTTGATGCCAATATTACAACGGGACCACAACTTGGTTGGTTATTGTCTTGCTTGATAAAGCGGTGAGAGAACAAAGCGCTGGTTTGAAAGAGACAAAATAGTGTGACTGGATTTTGGTGTTCACAGTTTTCAGCACGTTTTGATCGGTAAAGCACTTTTTGACCTTCTTGTACCTAATATACACGTACAGTACATACTATATATGACATGCGTTCACATAGACCCACACACGTATATATCTGGTAAAGTGTTCCACGTTACATTAACGAGTGAGTCCTCTTATTAAATAGTTTAGAATAGAAAATCAACAGTAATGCACCTTTACGTAACATCTTTTCACTCCTGGTTTGAGTAAGAATTAGTCAATCATTGCGATCAATAAATAACATTTTATATACCCTGAAACTGGAATGTACATTGTTTGAAGTGCTTCTCCCCAAAAAAAAGGTCCCATCTAGGGACCCCTTGGGGGTCACATACTGGGCCGGCTGCTTCCCGCCGCTGCCCTCTCTAGCGCTGAGCCAGCGGGACTTTGGGTCACCGCCGCTGCCCCAACGACCACTCGCCCTCCGGCGGGCGCGTCAGGCCTTCCCGCCGCGCCTCCCTGCCTCTCCTCCGCCGCCGCCGCCGCCGCCTTAGTCTGCTGCTCTTTGCTCTTGGACCCGTCCTGGGAGCCGAGCTTGATGGGGCCCAGCACGCTTTTGGCCACAGTGGTCAGCTGGCTGACGAAGCTGGTCTTGTCGCCGGGGGAGACGGGCCGGGACTTGCAGAGCGAAGGTCCGCAGAGGGAGGGGCCGACGGACGTCGGGGAGGGAGAGGGCGACGGCGAATGCTCCTCCACCACTTCCAGGCGACATTTGTCCTCCCAGTCAAGGGTCCCCCGATAGCAGTTGACGGGCCCGAGCCCTTGCCTCACCTTGCCCAGCAGGAGCGGCTGGCCGTGTGGGGGCACGACGGGGGCGAGTACGCGCGCCGCCAGCTTGGGGCTTTTGGAGCCAAAGTCTGGAGTCCTGGAGTCGCCGCTCTCCCCCCCGGCCTTTCTCGGGCTGCCCCCCGGACCCGACGGTTTAAAGGGTTTGATGATGCTCAGAGGACCAGCCTTGGATGCCGCGCTGACGCTTGATTTATCCAGCGTGGAAGCGGAGCTCCTGCTCAGGGCAGCACCTGCGGCACCGGGCCTACCCCTGCTCTCCGCTTCCTGCTTGGGCTCAGTTCTGCCCCATAGCTGCTCCTTGACTTCTTTAATGTTAGAGAACACACTTTTGGATCCCATGGGGTCTCGCTGTTTCGACGCCGAGTCCGTCGGACTCTGAGGGACGTTTTCAGGTCCCTTCTGACCACCGAGACTTCCTGTCGTTTTAATGAGGCTGCTAGAACCCGTGGGTTTGGTGGGTTCTACACAAAGCCTGGAGCTCGGTCCGGCCTGCGCGCCGAAGGCCAGCTCGCTGTGGGCTTTTCTCGTGAATGACGACTGGGATCCTGCTGCTCCAAAGCGACTCAACCTCTCCAGGACTGTGCCGGCATCAGAATCCCTCTCCCTCTCCCTCTCCCGTCCCCTCTCCCTCTCCTCCCTGTCTCTCCCGGCCAGCAGTGTTTCCCTGCTGAGCGGGGACTCCTGTCTACCCAGTCTCCTCACAGGCTTGAGGACACCGGTCTCCGGGTTTGCGGAGGACGAGGGCGGGGGCGGAGGATTGGGCGGCAGGTTTTCCCCGTCCGTCTCCAGCAGGCTCTGGAGCCCGAGCTCGCAGAGGAAGGCATCCTTGCGGTACTCAGAGTGCTGCACCTCCAGGCTGTGCTTCCTCAGCGGGCCGCCGAGCCCGCCCGTGGAGCTGGACTGGGTCAGGGGCGAGCCCAGCTTCTCCGCCGACTGCACCCGCTTGAGAAGAGGGGATCGGGGGGGCTCGGCACTCTTGGGCCTGGGGCGGACCACCGGCGGCGAGGAGTGGAGCTTGACGGGGAAGGATTGGGTGGTGTTGGAGCTTCCAACGGTGTGGCCGGGCAGCGGCGGCGGCGGCGGCGAGGACTGGGTGGGGGAGGGCGTGTGGGCGAGCGGGGACAGGGGTATGTTGCCCGCGGACTTGCAGCGGGCAGAGCGGTACTGGCGGTGCAGTTTCGGCGAGAGGCCGTGCAGCGAGCTGGGCCTCATGTGCTGAGACGGAGCGGGGGAGTTTGGCGTGCTGGAGGCCGGAGAGCTGCTCTGCGAGGAGGCTCCTAAAAGCACCCGGAGGAGGAAAGGTACATTTGAGGAGCAGGTAATTACAGTTTCTGCATTCTTAAGCGTGTTTTCCTGCCAATCGCATGCCCAGTTCATTTAGAAGAGTGTCCTACCCAGGTGCGAGGGCTCCGGCGTGGAGCGGTAGCCCTGCGTCGGCGACCGGGCAGACAGGCCGTGAGTCGGGGAGCCGGGGAGACTCTCACTGGAGGACAGAGAGCGATTCAAAGAGGACAGGCTGCGGCTGGTGTGCAGGAGATTGGACTGCTTCGTGATCTTACGGAACAAGGAGTTTCGCTTCTTACTGTCGGGGTGACAGACGAAGAAGAGAAGGTGAGACAGCCGGTGGCAATTTAAACCCAATTGCACATCATAATCCATCACTGTCAGCATAAACCACTTTGTTTGTGTCAAATGTTAACTTGCAACAATCAATCAAGACCTGGGTGTCTCTGCTGCGGTGCAGGTGCGTGAGCTCTCACCTGTCCTGGCCGTCCTTTGCCGCGGTCCTCTTGTTCCGCCGGGCCATCTTACACTTGTAGCCGGCCTTGCGGGCAGGACCCACTTTAATGGAGGTGTTCTCGAAAGGCGTGGTGGTCACCGTCACCTTGTTTCCACTCTGCACACATCAGAGACATCTAATCGTTTCTACGCAGCTCCTTCATCCACAAAACGAAGCGCATCCATGTAGCGTTGGATTCAAATTGAAAACTTACAAATAGACAACTAAGTAGCCTTTTATTGGCAGAAATAGAATAGAATTGCTCAGGCTTGTTGATATCACCAAACACACAGTCCACCTGAGAATGAACACGCCCACGGCCTCCTACCTTGAGGATGAGCTCCACCACCTCAGTGTGCACGAGACCGTGGACGGACTCCCCGTTGACGTGGGTGATGAGGTCACCGGCACACAGGCCGGCTTCCTGTGCGGGGCCGCGCTCCTCCACATGCTGCCGGGCAACACAAAACATGCACGCTCAGACGGGAGCAAAACCAATCACGGTAGACTTACTATTGATCGAAAAATGAACACTTGAAACTAAAATTAGCGGCAAATTAACAACTATTTCCCTCAATTTAGGCTACAAGCAATATTCTACCACAGACTTTCTTTCTCACCCAAACAATGTGGTGCACGCTGTAGATGTCGCTGTCTCCCATGTAGACCCGGATGGCCCTCAGAGTGAAGCCGTACTTCTTTCCGGAGCGGTGGATGGTGATGGGAGAGCGCAGCGCGCTCACTGACGGGCAGAAGTCTCTGCTGGGCGACGAGTCACGGGACGAGTGGTTGGAGGAGAAGGCGTGGGGGGACATGGGGCTCGCCAACGGGGAGAAGCCGCCGTGCTGCTCCACTGGGGAGGAGGGGGGGGCGTTAGAATGCCATTAAACAATTGTTGTCGACGGGCCTTTCTTTCCGTTGCTTGCCCGGCGGCGCTCACCTGATGGTATGATGACGGACAGGGCGGTGGCAGACGCTGACTTGGTGACCTTGCTTCCGGCTCTGGAGTTGCGTTTGTCGCCGTCGCCACACATCTGCTGATGGCGGGCCCTGCGGAGGACCAGGTCGTTGGTGGCCCGGGGCCCCAGCGGGTCGTACAGAGGGGTCATCACGTCACGACCGGCTACCGAAGGCGCTGCTGTTGACGTTGCCGTGGTAACTCCCGGTGTCTCTCCATGCCTAGGGGACTTATCTGTGAGGGGTCAGGGGGGAGTTTAAAGCAGCATTTAGAAAATGGTAACGTTATGCTGCCTGCGCTGGCAGACCTGCTCCGTTGATCTCCTTCAGGCCGCCCCGCGGCTCCAGCAGGGTCGGTGAGGGGACGCTCGTCCCGTCCAGCGAGGTCCCGCGGACCTTCATGGGGGTCTGCCGGGAGAGGAAGTCTGGCTCGCCGTCCAGCGCGGAGGCGAAGCGGTGTGTGTCCATCAGCGCTGAGAAGCGTCTGCGAGCGCCAAGGGGAGGGCTCGCCTCCCCCTCCATGTAGAGGGACTCTGAACAAGACAGGCGCTTCCTGCGGGGGGGAGGACACAGAAAACAGGCGTGTTTCAAATAAAAAGGCAGTAAGCGCTCAGTGACGATCCATCAGGTCGATCAGCGCAGCGCATGCTAACATCAGACTGAGGATGCTTACGTGCGGTTTTCTAGCAGGTGTAATACTGTAACAATTGCTAATTAGCATCACACACGGTACTGCGGAGGCTGATGGTCATGTAATTAGTTTTGCAGGTATTTCATCATAGATCAAAGTATGGAACATACTGACGACGGGGCTCGACGTCTTCAGATTAATAATTAATTCCTGTGACAAGAATTCACTGTGATGATGAAGAGTGTTTTTTATCTGGAACAAACCAGGACCAGCGAGCTCAGGAGCCTCTGCACCGAGGAGACAGCACCTCGTTCACTGTTCTACTGTGCATACTAAATCACAGCATAGTCCTCTCAGGCTGCCCGAACCGTTCACACCGTATGCATCCAGCAGGCATGTATATTTACATTTAATATTTGAAATAAATGAATTAAAAACGCTGCACTTTGGGGCTTTTTGGCACATAGTTGGATGCTAAATAGCATTCGGTTGTAATCTAGCGTGCAGAGACGTTCTGCAATGTGCCGGTAAAGCCTGCATGCTATCAAACATTTGACTTTAATAGATTAACGTGTCGCGATCCTTCTCATCAACCAACTCGGGGGGGATCGGAGATCCCGACAATACACACCCTGCGTTTTCTTTAGTAACACTGAATGTCAAAAACAACTTTTGTTGGTTTGCGAGCTCCTACAATTAAAGAAGTGAACAAATTGAATGAGCTGTAGCCAAAAAGTCATCATAGCTGGTGAGATGCTGATCATTTCAACCGAGAAAATCTAATGTGAAGAGTAACAAAATGATGAGCCACCATGAAAATTGTCTAACCTCTGCAGAATATATAAATGAATTCTATGAAACAGGTGGATGTAAAGAGGTTGAATTGATGGAGTGATGAGAAGTAATGGCAATCAGCCTCTGCTGTGTGCTCTCAGCGGGAGACACAGTAATATGACGTCTAGACTGAGCTGCCTCACAGCACATCAAACCAGAGCAACCGCCAAGAATTATGTCCATTGAGTGTAGATGGCTCAGAGCAGCCGGGACTAAAACCGATGTGTAACATCACTGTCAGAGTCACACAGTTATTACGCACAACAGAGACATATGGTGTGAGTCATAAGAACCAGCCGCCCAACTCCACTTCTATCCTTTCAGAGGTGGGATCTGCCTGTTGTCGACTGGAAGTGTGAACTCTCGCACGCAGTTATTTTTGAAGACGTGTGATACCTGCCGTGCGATGGAGAGTTATTCAGGCACACTGTGTGACAGTTCAGGGAAGCACCTCGTGAACAAACCCATCTGAGTCCTACCGCAGGTACACGCAACATCCTCCACAGCCTCCACAGCCTCCACAGCCTCCACAAACTCCACAGCCTCCACAGCCTCCACAACCTCCACAACCTCCACAGCCTCCACAACCTCTACAACCTCCACAGCCTCCACAACCTCCACAACCTCCACAGCCTCCACAACCTCCACAGCCTCCACATCCTCCACAACCTCCACAACTTCCACAGCCTCCACATCCTCCACATCCTCCACAGCCTCCACAGCCTCCACAGCCTCCACATCCTCCACATCCTCCACAGCCTCCACAGCCTCCACAGCCCCGCGTTCCATCGCGCCCACCGCTCACATCTCGGGGGATCCGGTCCTCCAGCTCTTGTCTCTCATGCAGAAGCTGCCCAGGCTCTCTCTCTTGGTCACCTTGTCCTCCCGCGGGCCTTTGTGCTCCCGACGGGACACGGAGTTTGAGGCTTTGTGCTCCAGCTGCGACAGATGCTCCATGCTGCTGTAGACCTGCAGGGGGGACACAGTCAGACCAAGCTTCATTTGGGCTGTTAGCAGTTCTTAACAGATCTGAGAGAGGCGGGACGAGATGCGCAGGGAACCAAGAGGCGGTCTGTGGTGGATCAGGGTGAAGAATACGTTGAAAATGAGAGCGTTATTTCCGACTAGTGCGTAACCATCTGTTTTACACGTCAAAAGAATTGGAAGTTCCTGATGAATGCCAAACCGTGACCTGACTCTACAACGTAAAACGCTTTCTGGTTGCAAATCGGTTGAAAGATTTCTGACGAATGAATCAAATACACGCTTGGGTTCGTCGCAGGCCTCATTAAGTGTGTGTATGTATTCAGCAGAGGCTTCGCTTGGGAAAGAAAACTCAACAACCCTCGAGCGTAACTTCAACAACATCTCACATTTAATTGAAACTGAGCCCCTCGATGAGGCACTTCGGATTTCCTCAAGAGTGAGAGAAGCGAACATGCAGGAACACCGGGGGAGAAAATCACAGCTCAAAAGAGACTCGGCCACAGAAAGATTTTCAGGATCATTAAACATCTGTAGAGCGAGACCCTCCGGATTAGATGCCAGAGGTCTGGCAGTGTGGACACCACCAGCTCAATTTCTTCGATGTGATATAACGTGATTTGTCGCATTGTAGTGAGAAAAATAATGTGTCAAGTGAGAAACTACATATGTGGACCAGAGTTTTTAAAAACAAGGGAAACGCCAGCAACTGAGAAAGTAAGAGAGGAGGAGAGGCAACTCAAACCTTGCTGAAGCGAGGAGAACAGGAGGAGAACTTGCTGATCTCCACCGGCTCATCGTCGTTGGTGTCGTCCTCGTCGTACGCATTGATGTGGTGGTACCGATCCGAGCGAGCTGCCCGGGGGAGACCGGGTCAGACAGAGAGAGGGAGAGGAGATCACACAGCTCAACATTAGAAGTGCATTTCCGATTGTGGCCGTGTGGTAAAATGATTGCACGGCTGATGGCAGTGGCCGTGAACCCAGAGGAACCTACTGTCAAAGTAGCTGGTGTCCTCTTCTGACTCCAGGTGAGGGATGAACTCGGCCTTCTGTCTCAGCAAACTGTTCCAGTCCAGCTCCGTGAAGAAGGAGTGCTGCTTCACCTCAAAAGCGCTGCCTGTAGGCACAAAGAACACGGCCTGTCGGCCTCACTCAAAATACACAACCAGCTACGCAACACAGTGTTTAAGAGACGGCGAGACGGATGTTTTCCTCAGGAGTGGGTGGAGAATGTTCGGCTTGTGTAGTGACCGGTTTCAGCTTTTTCATTATCCGGATTTGGTTTGTTCAAGTGAAAAAAAAAAAAAGAGTAATAAAAACTAGAATTCTCGCCTTCCGGCCGTTTTGTCTCCAACAACCAGTCAAGACGAAGTCAACGTCCAGCTCTGTCCAAAATGTCACAGCATCATCTCCTCTTTTTAGACATTTGCACGAAATCGTTTTATCTTGCACATGGATTATGAGTTATGGCCACAAATATGTTTTGAGGCGTCACAGCAACCGTTTCACCACCGAATTGTAATCACTTCAATATTGAGCCCAGGTGGAATTAAGTGCCACATTTTAGGACATTTTATAAATAAATAGATGTCAATAGTGTACTCTGTGTCTGTTGGATTTAAAAATCATAAAAAGTAAACGGTTATATTTCTAAAAGTTACATTTCTTTGATAACTTATTGTATAAATGTGTCCAAAAGTGACACCAATTATGAAAAAAAAAGAATTTAAGACGCCACATGCTGTACATATAGAAGTCTTTGTATTTACTGCAGGTTTAGTAAAGTATTTACTACTCCTGTCCTCTCCCCTCTGCGCCGTGTTCAGCAGCCTTCAGTCAGTGTTTCTGTCACAGACATTTTGTCAAATCACTGTTGGTCTCAGCCATGGCCTCCCAGTTCAATCAATCAATCAAACTTTGTTTGTATGGCACTTTTCAAACAGGTGAGCGAAATCCAAAGCATTTTGAAGATGACCGTCAAGCCGGAAAATAATAAAAAATAAATGTGGACGATGAAAACAATAAAAACCGAATTAAATGTAATTTAAAAATGAAATGACATTCATTAGTACTAAATCACCGTATAAAATTAACTATACTATAAAATTAAAAAACATATAAAATCATACAATTCAAAAACAATAAAGTTCTAAATAAAATAATACTAAAATAAAATATTTTAACTTAACATAAATGAGAAAACAATTCACATAAATAAATAAAATAATACGATTTCTACAATATCTGAAAATAAAATGTCTACAAACCATTATTAATCGACGGCCTGGCTGAGGCCTTTGATTTGACAGCTGTTTCTGTGCTGAGGAGCACAGAGTTAAATGATTTATCTGGTTAGTGCAAAATGTTTATTCATGAAAACAGCATTATAATTAATTAATAACAGCAGCGCAAAATAGGTGCAGATCAGAGCTCTGATATCATGTAAATGTTAGTACCTGTACCCAGCCTCACAAGAGGGTTGGTCTGCAGCAGGGCAGAGATGAGGTCCTGGGAATCCGCGGGCAAGGCGTCATCCCCATCTGGCCAAACGATGTTGTCTGAAGGAAACGACGCAACAGAGAAAAAGGTCGGTGTTATGCCTCCTTCTGAAGTAGTTTTAAGAAATGAGAAATCACCTGTTAGTACAAACTACTGCAAAATCCCTCTTAATACCTGCATTTTACCCCAGAAAAAAAAAGACAAAACATGAAACTGCTGCAGTATTGAAAACTGTGCTCGGACTATATCACATGCTTGAGATGCACGGATATGGAATGGTGACGCTCTAGTTTCCTAAACGTCTGGTGTTAAAAAAGTCTGGAAAACAAACTCCCGCTTACTTTAAGGAAAACTGTAACCCGGCGGAGTTGAAACACAGCGTGAAGCTCTCGATGCAGGTCGAGAGTGTCTTCACAGATGTCTTACCTGTGATGACCTGTCCAAACAGCTCCTCCGGCGTGTCTCCAAAGAAAGGCACACAGCCCACCAGGAACTCATAGAGGATGATGCCCATGGCCCACCAGTCCACGGGCTTTCCGTAGCCCTGCCGCAGAATCACCTCCGGAGCGATGTACTCTGGAGTACCACACACCTGGGTGATGGAGGGGCGAGGGAGGCACGGGGACAAAAAGAGACAAACACGGGAAGAAAGACGGGTTCCAGTTGGCTGACAAAATTCCACGTGTCCAAATTACATCATTGTACGTTTTCCTCAATTATGGCCCCTTCAGATATAATGTGAGGCGTGTCAAATGCTGTGGTTTGTGATTGTTTTCTCTCATCCCTCATTCAAAGAATCTGTGAATGAATCTGCTCGTGGATGAAACATCCGAGACCAGTAACAGTGAGAGGAGGGGAAAAGTCAGTTAATCCAAATAGCCAAAAATAATGTACGCGCACTCTCAGCGATTCAGAGTGTCGGCGCCATTAGAGATCTTTGCTGTGAAGATTTCGGTCTCTGTGTCAAAACAATTAATTCCAAAGGAGCTGCATTCGTCTGGGGAACAGTTCAGCGTCCCATTTAGACAGATTAGTAACCAAAACAGTTTGCAAAGTTTAAAATGTCATTTTTTAATGTAAAGAAAAGTCTAAATATCTAAATGTTGGTCAAACAAACCAACCGTAGAAGCAGTGAAATGGAAACCATCAGCTTCGTTTAATTCTAAGGTTTAATTCTAATAAAAAGGGGAAACAAAGCATATGTACTCGTGACATCATGAGCGGGTGGATGAGAACCACTCTCCAAATCACAATCTGTGGTCTGTGTCATCCGCAGACGTGATCTGATCCTGGCAGAAAAACAGATGGCCGCTTCGCTGTCTGACTTCATTCAGAGCATAAACAATAACTATAATTGCTAAAAGCGGTTATTGTGAAGGAGATGGAGCTGATTAATGATTCCCTAATTCAGAAGAGGCAGGAAGCATCGTAACACAGTGTCATCGTTTGAGGGCCACGGTTTCGCCCACTGAACATCCCATGTTATAATTACAAACACCTCTTCGTGAGATTAAATACATCAGCCGGTGGACTTTCTACTTCACGATGTGGGAGTCAAGTACCGCAATTAAAAAACGGTACACCGTTGCTACGATACAGGTGACAGACCTGCTTGTCCAGGAACTCTCGGGCATCTTTCTCAATGTGTCCCTCGTACAGGTTGGTGGTGAGGCTCATTAGACCCATCTTTGACAAGCCAAAGTCTGTAAGCTTGATGTGGCCCATGGAGGTGATCAGCAGGCTGTTTGGAGACAGAAAGCAGGAACTCACTTCTGCTGCGGCGCAATAGAACAGACCAGTTATTTCTTATAAGATGTGCCGTGGTCACTGGTTTACTGCACAATGCGCCGGCGGGGGCTGAAGTGGAGATAAGATCCCCTCTACCTAAAAACAAAGACCAGCAGTACTATCAGTGTGGGGAAAGCTACATTCCATTAATACTTCATATCTGTTGTCCCAATGAAAGGGAGCGTTCCAAACAGTTCTCCTTTTCTTATTTAAAATACTCACTGAGGTAAACACTTCTCAACAATAACACTTTGTCCTGCAACCAGAGGAGTCGCACCATAATGGCTGAAGATTCAAGGCACTTCTGCATTGTATTACGTTTTCAGAGCCTAAAAGATGGCGCTATTTCTACCACTGTGTTCTCTAGCTCGCTAGAGCAAAATAAAGAAAAAAGTGTCGGCGCAGGTTCAAGCAGTCACTTGTCAGGCTTGAGGTCTCTGTGGACGATGCCATAGTTGTGCAGGTATTCCAGGGCTAAAACGGTCTCGGCGAAGTACATCCTTGCCAGCTCCACCGGCAGAGCCCCAATGTTCTTCAGCAAAGTGGCGCAGTCGCCCCCTGACAACATAGAAACACCAACATATCCATTTCAGAAAGGAAAGGCAGCGTCCCTGCTTTAGAAATGTTGACTGAAGTGCAGTAAGTCTTCAGGATGACATTAATCGATCATCTGATTAAGCAGCATAGCCATATATATATATATATATATATATATATATATATATATATATATATATATGTATATATGGTAATGTATAATGTAATATATGAAAATGCTCACATTCAGCAAAATAAATTGATATATATATATACATATCAATTTTCCTGAATGGGAGCTTTTTCATTAACAGCTTTTCAGGAGTCCAGCTGACACTTTTATCAAAATTAAATAAAAGAAGAGTGAAGGATGGAAACCCAATCTAATGCTTTTCAGACCCCAGACGCTGCAAAAGAAAAAAGCAAACAGACCAAGAAATCAGCCACTCAAGAGTGCTCATGAATCATAAAACACTGTAGTAACTCAAGTCCTTCCTGAGCATAATAAGCGTCTGCAAACAAGCCGAATGAGGTTCCCTCACCCTCAACATATTCCATGACCATGCACAGATGTCTCCGCGTCTCAAAGGAGCAGAACATGGAGACCACGAAGGGATTCTCCGCGAAGGTGAGGATGTCCCTCTCCACGAAGGCCTGCTGGATCTGGTTCCTCAGGATCAGATTCTGCTTGTTGATCTTTTTCATGGCAAAGCGCTGACGCGTCTCTCTGTGTCGCACCAGGTAGACGGCACTGGAGAGGAGGTGAGACGGAGGAGACGAGAGTGAAACCTGAAACCACGGCGGAGCACGGAGGACGCAAAGCACGGGGGGGCCGAGGTGGGACCAATGAGAAGGGGCCGTACGTTACAGGGTTAAAATCCGCCTGCTTGAAAGTGGAACTGCACACTTCCTACAGACTGTCTGTGTTAAAGATCTTGGTTTAGTTATTTTCCACGCGAGGACGTTCTTGGCATTACGGTCCATCCCACGTGGGATTAAAAGAGAAGATGGTTTTCTATTCTTAGCCACCACTTAAAGCGCCTTCCAACACAAGGCAGCATTCACCCGTGCAGCACATTTCACACGCTGGTGGAAGCGGCTACCAGACGAGAGGCGCCACTTTCCGACGCGCGCGCAGCCATTTGAAGCACAACATCTTGCCCAAAGACCCCAGGATACGAAGACTCAGGGGGCCAATTCAACCAAAACATTATATGCATACAGTTATATCACCTCAGGTCAAACTGTGTATACAATCTGTGCAACATCTTAAGTAATGTGGCACATGGCAGACACTTCTTCATCCGCCAGGCTTCCTCATCTAACTGGCTAAATGTTTCATGCAAATTGTTAAGCCATTCTTTGTGCGTTATGCACGTTTTAACTTGCTAAACACGACGTGGCATCGTTCGGATACCTTTTTAGATACGCATGACAATGCTGATTATTGGCCCCAAACAGTCTCAACAGTCCCCCCCCGTTGTTGTCTTTTGATAAAATGATCATCATGTGGCGTATGTGGTAAATGAGCTCACCCATAAGCTCCATTGCTGATCAGCTTGATGCTCTGAAAATCCTCCTCACTCGGCGGCTTGATGACTCTCCCTTTTCCCTGTTGACACAATTTTAAATCATAATTGAAATCGCTACAAAGGGCGTTTCAATTAAATGTTCATGTGTCGTTGCAACTTGGATGATTTGACGCACGTGTGCGTGCAATCATTTAGCGTGTGAGTGCATTTCGTCCTTCACCTCGGTGGAGTCGTCGGCCTCCGGAGTGTGTGGACCCTCACTGTCGTAGCTGTCGAGGCCAACGATTTCTGCTTGAGAAACACGTTAGTTATCAGGACTCCAGGTTGGCAAAATGAAATGCTTCTGCCTAAAACAGCTGCCGAAATAAATATCTTAAAGAAATACATGATGGGAGAGAAGATGTCTGAAGACTGAAAGAATACTTGTGAAATAGCGTCCTTCCTTTTGATTTATCTTTATTCCTTCAGCGTCCGTCCCCCTTACTTTAAAACCTCTCCTTCGCTGAGCGGCTCACTGCCAGAGTCCTTCCACTCTTATATGTGACAGCTGCTGGAATCCACTGATTATAGCGCCGTTTTGTCAAATAATTCACTTTGCAAAGCGTTTGCGAAGCTGCTCTGTGGATTTTAGCTCCATGTACAATGACAGTCATTAAGCTGACACTGATGCACTTGGACGTTTTTTTCTCTCTGACGTTGATAACAAGTGATCTGGTCAGCGGTCTCTGTGAGGAAGTGCAAAGTGTGGCTGCAGCTACGTGAGTGTGCCCTTGTGTGCTTATGTGTGACGGTGCAGGCAGAAGAGAAAGTGCAAGATCAAGATATCAAGTGGTGCATTGTTAGCAGAGAGGAAACTTCTGGCAGGCGTGTATTTTTCATGGAAATAAAAGAACCGGCACGGGTTGATTGTGAGGTAACATTCAGGGTGATTTAACCCCTGGGCGGACGAGCAGCTCCTGATGGATGGGACCCGCAGCGGCTGAGCAGACGTGCAGACAAAATGTGAGCCGTGGTGATTAATGAAAGATGCCGCGCCGCTAGCCAGCAAATGATCCGCCCAGTATCATCTCAAACATCCTGATGATGCAGAACAACCACAAAAGCCGATAGCTCAACCCATTGAGAAACACGTATGCTTGTTTCTGTCCGTTTAAGAGGGTGGGGGGGATCTTTAGGGGGAGACGTCATCTGACAACTGAGGGCCTGAAGCTTTATTTGAGATGCAGCTCCCCGCTGTGTGTCAAGATGTTCTACTCATTAATCAGAAAGACACACATTCAATCGAGTGAACATCACTAGTAACGTACGACCTTTTTAGCGATTGGATGACGGGTGGTTCTGTTCTAGGTTTCAGAATGTGCACGCTGGGCTAATGTCCGCTGGGCAGACAATGAAAGGTGAGAGGTTCAAAGTTTGACATTGAGACAACTGCATCCTACCAAGACAACCACCATCTTACTGACTTTACAATCTGAAATGATCTCTACAGTATTTGGTGGGAGTCGGACCATCTGGTGTCGTGGTGCAGCCAGAACAACCTGGAGCTCAACGCTCTGAAGACAGTGGAGATGGTTGTGGATTTTCACAGAAACGCAGTCCCACCCTCCCCCATCACCCTGTGTGACTCCCCCGTCACTATTGTGGATTCCTTCTGTTTTCTGGGCTCCATCATCATCCAGGACCGCAAGTGGGAGCAGAACATCAACAAGAAATTCAACCTGCCAAAGACGATGATGGTCCACTTCTACACGGCCATCATGGAGTCCATCCTCTGCTCCTCCATCAGCGTCTGGTACGCTGCAGCCACAGCCAAGGACAAGGGCAGGCTGCAGCGTGTCCTCCGCTCTGCAGAGAGGCTGATCGGCTGCAATCTGCCGTCCCTGGAGGACTTGTTCGCTTCCAGGTCTCTGAAGCAGCTAAAAAGATGGCGGCCGACCCCTCTCACCCCGGACAAAACCTGTTTGTGCCCCTTCCATCTGGCAGGAGGCTGAGGTCCATCAGGACTAAGACCTCCCGCCACACCAACAGTTTCTTCCCGTCGGCAGTCGGGCTCATCAGAAGAGCCGGTCCCCCACTGACTGACTATAACACTCCACTGGTCACTCCCCCTCATACTGCACATGCGCTTGCCCCTGAACTTTCTGCTCTATGCGATGAAAATGCACATGTTGTTGTTCTTGCACTATGTTGTCTTATCGGTCTTGTTGTCCATTGTCTTACTGTCTGGTGTTATGCACCAACCCACAAGTCAAATATCTGGCATATTTTAGTGATAAATGTTCCTGATTCCTGATGAATGCAGACGCATGTGTTCTGGAGAGAGAGATTTGGCCGAGCTCAAAAGTCGGAGGCCTGGGGAGACGGACAGCCGGCTGTGTGTTTCATGGACCCACTTTCTAGCCTCTCTTAAGATCCCATCAACACGCAATACTAAAAACCATGTCATTCATTTCCTCTGCGTTAATGTTCCTCGGGGCAAATGAAATAATACTATTTTCATATGTTGGACAGAACCCGTAAACCTGTATATTCCTTCCTGTCTCTTACCCTCCAGCGGGTCTCTGGTCAGGCCCAACTGGCTGATGATGTATCGGGGGATGTCGGCCTTCATCAGCTGTCCCTCCTTGGCGTGGTCCTCCGCCGCCTCCAGCAGATGGTAAAACTCTTCAGGGTTGAACTCCTATCAATGGAGGGGAAACATTTAGGCACAAAGGGAGCCGGCTTTTTATATAGTTGCACAACTGAGTAATACTGGTGACTTTTCGTATTTCGAGATATAAAACCATCATGTTCTGTTCACAGTCATCGTGGTTACATGATAAGTAAAGTATATTATGGTATACTTGTTACTCAGGAGTAATGTTTCTTATCCTCGTCAGTCTACCTGGAGATTATCTTTCAATTATGTGGCTGTTAATCTTTAAGATGTGAGGATATAGTGAAAACATCACAGTGATAAACGGCCCAAAACCCCCAGAAAAAGTGGTTATTGATACGGAGATTTTATTTATCTGGATCAGCTACATTAATCCAGTACTGGTTGAAAAATTCACTTTATCATATTACAAGAGAACATAGCACAATATTTCACAATGATGATTTTTTTTCAACAGGGTAATGCACCATGATTACTGACAACAAATTGTGAGCTGATATTAAACTGTGTCACTTCTCATCAACGGCATTTATGACCAAACACAACTATGGGGCTGTCAAACCAACACAGTGTTAATACACCTTCCAACTATAAATTGCTTTCACTAACATCCCCCCTTTTTTTTTAATCCCTAATGAAACATTCTCCGGTGGCGTCCTGTGGGATTCCCTTTCATTCCTTTTGGTGGAATAACAGTTTGATTAGAAAGCGGAGCCGGAGGCAGCCGGATCATTTCCCCTGTTCGCTCATATCTGCTCCCCTCGACCGGAGGAGAAAAGAGGGGGAATATAACACTGCGCTCACGGACAATGTCACAAAAAAATGTTTTCACCTGATCGCAACGCGCAGCCGACTTGAACGCTAAATGAACACAAAGCCGGCGGACAACATTTTATCCACGCGCGCGTCTCCTCCTCTCCGACCTACGGCCGGTGAAGATCTTAAGTCTCCTCCGGATCCTGCCTGACCCTATTGACCTCCTCCGACGGTCGTCTTGGCAACGGACAGATGAGCCCGGGGCTGGTCGGAGGAGGGACGGCGGCGGAGACAAACACGCGAGGCCATCCATCAGTCCTCGCACGCATACAGAGAGGCTGGTTATTACTAAGTCAAAGCGACTTGTGTTCTTTATGTACCAGCATGTCAAGGACACGGCTCCGTTTCGAGTCGAGGGAAGAGACCAACAAAGCAGTGGGGGCAGAACAAATATTTTAAAGAATGCTGCAGGTGAAACTCTGTGTGGAATCAACTAAATGACAAACCGTACCAAGGAACACAGTTAGCCACATAGACTGTAAAGCTCATGTTGATATATTAACCCGGGCGGTTTATGGATTGCGGTTTTGAGCGCTTCCGGTTCATCATTTGCACCGTCGCCATCTTGTTTGTTGCCACCAACAACGACACCAGAGGGCGAAGACAAGTTCATCTGACAACGTTAGTTAACCTTGATGAGCTGAAAACACACTGCGAAGGCGTTAAAGCTCCAACAGCCAGACCACACGACGCCTCGGTATCGACCTGTCAATCACAAGAAGACACGGCCTGAAGCGTACCTGCCCTGTGGTCCATTTCACTCTAAATGGGACTTTTAAGTTCATTCAAGCTAAAACAAATATCATATGAATCACTCTCGAGTAAACAAGGTGGGCTCACATGGTTTTACTCCAGTGGCTGAAATGGTCGACTGGATGCATGCTCATAACCGGTGTGTGTTGTATGTGGCTGCATGCTCTCCGTTACGCCTACACACAGTTTAACTTCTTTTCTAAGACTAAAATACCGGGGGGGGAATAATGAGAATATTCTCCTCTTCATCTCATCTTTGTATAAATAGTTTAGGACGGTCTAGGACACAATGGTTAGTTGTGAACCAGCTCTGTGTTGCTAATTTTCCATAATTGAATTGTGTTTCTACATTATTAAGATCTGAGACGGCGATTCGGGCACACCTGTGAGCAGCAGGTGTGCTCTTTGATGGAGTGTACTGTACATTCCTTCTATCCCGCCCCCCCCATCAAACTAGATGGGAAAATATCATTTTAAAAAGGACAGCAGGTCTGTAAAATAGTAAAAAGAGTCAACATCCTTGTTAAGGAGTTTGAGCAATAGGAGAGCTGTGTGTCGGCGTTTCAGGCTCAGTGCTCAGACCCTCCGTCCACACGAGTCTATGGCAGCAGACCAAGAACAACATACTGAACGGGAATTACAAGCATCTTGGAGACGCCGACTCACCAAACACTCGAGGAGCCGCGCTGGACGGGATATGATGATGAAGAGCTTTTTGACCAGCTCGATGACGAAGGTGAGCTCCGAACTCTCGGAGCGCTCGTAGGCCTGAGAGCGGGAGGCAGAGAGAGACGGGCGGACAGACAGACAGACAGACAGACAGACAGACGCGTGGGCTCGGTTAGACACGCGTCGGATAACGGCAGATAACCGTTGCTCTCCACCACGTCGTCCACTCACGTCGTTCAGCAGCTTCTCCAGGTTCTCCTGCAGCTCGCAGAAGTACACGCTGGTGATGAGGCCCTCGCGCGACTTTGTGAGGCAGTCCCTGGACAGCTCGGCTACCTGGTGGTGGATGAAGCTCAGGACGCCGTCGGCCAGCGGCATCACGCTCTCCGGGCAGTAGTTGTGGATGAACTCTGCCAGCCTCTCCTCCATCTGCGCCGTTGCCTGCGTGAATACGAGATGGCAGATGACCGTTATCGTGGGTAAAGAAATGTGTGGTCTGTAAATTGAACCTCACATTAGGTGGCGTATCTCGACACCTGCCATCGCCGGCTCTGACGCGCTCTGATTGCAGCGTCCCCGCGGTTATCTCTGGGCTATTGTGTGTGTGTTGCATAGCTGTCAAGTCAATTGCATAAACGCCTATTTCAGATATTCAACTGTTAATTAGGCGCCTTATGATGGCGGTGAGAACGCAGCAATGTGGAGCCGTTATTTGCAGGCCTTTCGAGCTTTCAATAGCGTGTAGGAAGCCTTGTTAGCGCTGCCTCACATAGCATTACTGTGAGTGAGTTCATGAGGGTGAGGACCGTGTGTGTGTGTGTGTGTGCGAGCAAATTACGTCCATTTCCCAACACACATTTCCCTCTCCACAGAAAATAGTGTTTCCCTACAGGACTCGTGCAGGCTGCTTTAAGGAGTTTAACATACGGTCTGATAACGCACTCGCCCCCCCGGAGCAAGATAAGTGATTTAATGGAGTCATCGGTGACTCAGAGGTGAGGTCGAGCATCTCAGACGAGGACGTCCTCCAGATGTGTCCACGGCTCACAGAGAGCGGTGATCTCACGGGATATTCAGAGGGGTCGCCATCTGACATCGGCAATACCGCTGCGAGCCACATGCATTTTTGAGACGTGATAATTGCTTTCTTAAGAAATTTAATCTAATACAAAAAGCCTTTCGATCTGTTCATATTGCTGATGATAGAAAAATCAATGTTTACTCATCACCAAAAAGCTGTGAATCCCACAGCTGACACGGGAGTCGCTCTGGAAAACCCTTTCAGTCCAAAATGAGTGTGATTCAGCAGAAGTGTCTGCGTAGTCACGGTGGTTGCGCTGTGTGTTTGTGTGTGAGAGGCTGACCTTGGGGAAGCGCTCCTTGTAGACATGGTTCATCATCATTATTTCATTGTCATAACAGGATGGAGAGCGCCCCGGGCTGAAGAAGGCAAACACACAGAGCAGGAGAGGGATAAACAACACACACGGAGAACATCAGAGACCCGATTTGGTTGTTTTTTACCCGAATGAGGGAATAATTTACCACTTCTCCTCATGCGCGTCCTGTCTGGACATTATGCTAATCCAGCAATCTGAAATTCAGTACACTCTAAAGGATGTGGCGTACTGCATGGGGTACTGACGTAACACAGGCACAAATATATTAACGTGCTTAATGTGCACTTTCCAACACACTAAATCAACCTCTTCAATAAAAAATCCCCCAAAAACTCAAACAGTGCAGAATGCACAAAAGCATATTGCGAACAGATTTCTAGTGGGAAAACACGCTTTAGCTTTGTGGAGAAGATGTGACATGAATAGAAATAATGAGGCATGTCGAGGTACACAATAAAGCATTCTGTGTACTGAAGTCACACGATTATCGAGATTATCCAGGGCAGCGACTGCTGAGGAGCTTAATATGAAGACTGAATACTGATCCGTAGAGTTGTTGTTCCACCAGAGGGGAGGCTGGGATGGGTGAGGTTGGTCTTCTGCTAATAGAGAAACTGCTCCAATATGGAGAGGCCTTCAGGGTGGACTGATGCTGATTTAATAATAGTGGTGGAAATATAGAAATAGGCTCGGAGTAGAATGGACATCACCCTTAAAATCAATGTAGCAGGATGGTCGTGGGGGCAGCAATCATTGCCACGGAGACCACCGGCTAACTGCTAGTTATGCAAGTACGTTTTGCATAACATTAAAGCATGCATTAAAGCATGCATGCTTTAATGCATGCATGCTTTAATGCTACCAGCATACCTGCACCAGCATGCGTTATGCTGGTCACCAGCATACCTGCACCAGAATGCATTATGCTGGTCACCATACCTGCCACCATACAGCATACCTGCACCAAAACACAACGTATGCTGGTTTTGCTGGTCACTAGTCTTGCTGGTCCTTGCTGTTTTTTCTAGCAGGGTGGTGGAATACTAGCTCGCTAGTTACCTCGCCTATAGTTCTGCAATGCTTTAGCGCAGCTCAGACAATACTTAACCTGTCAGTAGACCACTAATACTTCAATCAAATAGAATATATACTTTAAATACTTGTACTTAAATATATCTCACAATGTGTGTAGTTTTACTACTAGTACATTTCGTTGAATGCAGTACTTTCGATTGCAGTATTTTATTGTGGGGCACTAAGAATCTGTATATTTCCTCTACTGCTGATAATAAACCACACACATCTGGAAGATGTGTAATCAGAAGACATTAGTATGCACATCTGTATGTGCTGGAAGTGTGTTTGCCGCCTCATTTAGAAATCACAGGATACTGATAAATATTTACTTCTATGAAATAAAGACCTAAGACCTCACATTAAATGACAGCTGCAGAAAATTAGTAAATTACCCACTAGCACAAACAAGTACATTATATGTATATATATATATATATATATATATATATATATATATATATATATATATATATATATATAATAACAGGTGAATTATAGAATACAAAGGCCTGTGCTCTGAATTAATGATGAGAGCATTCTGCATCTATTTATGAAGATGGAAGTTGTTCCTGCACATTTTCCCTTTCATAGCCGTTTCATATAATCTTGATATAAAGAATTTTGATTGCCCGTGTTTACTTTTCATTAAACAACCCAAAAAACTCCTTCTGTCATCAGAAAATCAACCTACGGCTTGCATCTGGAAAGAAAGCGCCAGCATTATGTTTCTGTTGCCATGGCCAAGAAAGCAGCACGTCAGTCCTCCCTCGGGGAGGAAGCTCACACACACAGGTAGTAAGTAGTTTGCACGATACCAAGCAGCTCCAACCGTCTCTGGCCCGCGACCGGCCCCCGGCTCTCACCTGAGGCTCCGGGAGCGAGGTCGGGCGTGCGGCGAGCGCCGGCCCCCGTCGTCGTCCGTGATGCTCTCGGTGCTGCCAAAGTGCTTGGACAGGAAGTGCAGCTCGTCCATCGTCGGCTGGAAGGGCAGTTGGTGCAGACGCTCCTGGGATGAGCTGGATGACTGCAGCGAGACATTAAAAAGAGAGACAGGGCTTCATTTTTGCACAGCTCCTGGTCACGTCTGTGAAAAGCTGGAGAAGAGGAGACCGAAGGCACCAAATGGCACGAGCGCCTTCATCGATGTGGTGACCACAGGAGAAGGGAAGGAAAACAAGAAGAAAGCACCAGCTGTACTACATGAGTGGGTGGAAAGAGCTGAAACAAAGAAGCGGCTCACGGAAGGATAAGAGAGAGAGGTGGAAAAATAAGAAAATGTCCAGAAGGAGTTAGTGTAGGAGGGTAAAATGAAATAACATGGACGGAACATCAGAGCAAAAACACTGCAGGGAGTGAAAGACTCTTTGTGTGTGGGGGGGGGGGGGGGTGTATACACCTTTAAACAAAACACTTTTCCAGTGCAGGAGGGGGGAGAAAACGGCTGGATCAATGGGAGGCTTGATGAAGACGTCTCCCGATGGGACACTTTGAGGGGCTTTGGCCACTCAACTATTTCTGCTCCGAAAATCCATTATAAACTCCATTCAGGTCTTAGCCACTTAAAAGCTGAAGACAAGAATGTTAGGGATCAATCAATTAATAATCAGTTAAGATGCTCGCTGGAGACAGGGAGAGGAAGCAGGCTGAGCTAAATGCCCCTCGTCATAGATACAAAAAGCTGTTTGTCTCCTTCGTGAACCAGCTGCATCTCAGTCACTAGGTGTGATAATAATATGAGAGGAAAAAGGATTTTGAGGGAATCATCACCACCTGGATCAACTTTTTGCAATTTTTTGCAACAATATGACTTGATTCATATTGTTCTGGGTCTTTACCCTCATGGTTGGACGTGAGTCACTTTGGGTACCAGTGTCCGCTAAATGCAATGTGTTCACTCATTTTAGAAAAAATTATCATTTCCACAACTAATTGCATCACTATTTGCATCTGTCGGTTTTCTTCACCTGTAACTTTTTATTCTTCCTCCATCTTCTGTTTGTGTTACCTCAACTTTCCTGGATACATTTGGTTGTTATCTACCTCTTCCTCCACACACACAGACACACACATCTGCTGTTCAGTATGCACGGGTCCTGCTGCACCTAATCAAGCCAGCAATGGCCCGTGTGAGAACTAGCAGAGCATATTTCCTGACGAGGTGGAGGGGACGAAGACCGATGGAGGTGAGGAGGAGAACGCTGACAAAAACCCTCTTCAAACTCATATACCGGTAAAAAGAGATCCATGGGTGGCCTGCAGTGTACCGTGCGTCTCTCTGTCAGAAGGTGCATTGGAGAGGAAGTCAATGAAAGAAATGAGGTGTGAAGCGGAGCAGAGCACAGCACAGGAGAGCACAGGGGTTTGATTATGAGTCAACACCATCCCTCCACCTGAGCGTCCTAGGTCCTCGGACAAAAGTGAACATTGTTTTTTTTGCCCCTCAGTTTGCTTCAAAACGCGTTTCACTTCCACCTACGCTCTCTCTTATTGGTCTCTGTTTCCCATCCATCCCTGCGTCTATGGCGGTAAAGTAATACTGAAACAGGGAAGAACTTGGTCACATTTCATTTTTATCGTCCCACAAGGCCCAATACATAAACCCAGTTGATCATATCTTAGCAACTCATGTGCTATTTATAGTTCGCCGTTGCAAGTGAAGCATGTTCTTCAGCCATGAAACGGTTTGAAATAATCGTCTGAGCCTCAGCGAGCAGAACACAGAGTGTGTGTGTGTGTGTGTGTGTGTGTGTGTGTGTGTGTGTTTGCGTGGCATCCAGCTGCGGAAGTGTGGGATTGTTTCAAAGCGGCAAGTGGAACATGCAACTTTCGAACATGAATCCCATGCACTGATTTAATGTGTGGAAATATATGCAAATAAATTATTTTAGAGAGATACATATTCATGAGAGGATAGAAAAACCCAACTCATCAATTTAGCAATAGACAAAAATAACTTCACGCACAAATTATCAGGAATACAAAGCAGATCCCTCTTTAGAGCTCCCTTCCTGTTCTGAGGCGCGGCGTTTGATCTTCATGAGTTTTCTTCTGTCACGCTCAGAGGGAAAACATGGAGGATTCTCTCAAACAGGGACAGGCGCCTGGCTGCTGCTGCGGTCTTCAGAATGAAGGTGTTTACTAGAACCATCTAGAACTAGAAGTATTATGAGATTCCACCGAGAACACTATGTACTATTTCAAGAAGCCAATCCTTTTTATTTCAAGGGGTTTATTTAGAACCCACCCGGGGGTTCGATAAAAAAACTTTTTACATCCCACAGCTTTAACCTAAACCCCCAAGAGCCCCCACAAAGGGTTCTACAGGGACCCGCTCTGTATTGTGACCATTTTATATTCCAAGGGTTGCATCCTAGACCCCAAAAGGCCAGGGTCTGTGTGGTGCACCAACCCACAACAATCCCGGTTCACATTCACAGTTCGGGGGGGCGGGAGTCGCTTTTGACCGTCATGTATTCAATCTTTGGATGAAAAGGGGTTCTTGACAAATCATTGTGCATGATGCATTAGAGCATGCGCAGCTTTCTTCATCCACTTAAACCTACCGTTGAACTGGGCGTATTGGTGCCATATCCAGAGGAAGGCAGAGAAGCCAAGGACCATCTACGACCATCAGCCCTGAGGAAAAGACACATAGAAAAGTGGGAAAGGGATGATTCTGATATCGGTTTCTATTTCAGTCCCTCCTAGCAAACACAGTTGTCCTGAAGCATTCCCATGGCCATCACGTCCTTTCTATCCAATTACACTCATGTCCCCTTTTATCCCTCCGGCCACGTCTGACGCTGCCTCCCAGTGAGCGATGAGGGACACACATTTGGGCTGAATTCCGGCACCTCGCCTCATTCGTCTTGGTCTGCTGTCAGGCCCCTGAAGAGCTTTTTTTCTCTGTGTGTCCATGAGGGTAAAAGTAATCCTGTGCAGCATTTCACTCAGCTAGTCGAAGCTGCTCTTGCAGCGTCGCATGCGTGACTGACGTGTGTGCAGAAAGCAGGAACGCCGACCTGCGAGAGGAGGCGAAGGAGAAGTGGGCTGGTCCGCTGGGCGAGAAGTTGCGCGGGCTGTCCAGCGGACTGCTTCCTGTTGGAAGACATGCGGACAGAGCAGAACATGTACACTGTGGATTATAGCAACCAGAAGTCATTTTATCCACCACGGCTGTGGCCTTTGACACCGGCGACACTGGAAGCTTCTCATTACAAGTCGAGTAATATTATAACTGTCCGACTAAATGACTCCATGGATAAATTAGATGCTAGAAGCTAAATTGACCTAAACCTTTTTAGAATACTGCGATTCATTCTGATTTATTATCTGAAGGCAGCGACGTTCAGCGGTCTGATCTTCAGAGCGTTGTTTACAGCGGCAGAACTGTCCATTGCTCGCTGCGATTGTCCATATTTGCCATCGCTTTGCACCTTGAAAGCTTGACGAAGCTCACTGCGTTACTATGACGACTGTGAGCTGAGACGCAGCTGCTTGTTCTTTGTGTCGTCTGAGTGCTGCGTGTGGATCTTGTGGCGCTCTCGGCCCCCAAAGGTGCTAAATTCATAGCATTTATATAGCCGCAAACAACTATTTGCTCTGTAAAGTTCTAGTGGTGTAACGTCTAATCTGATGTCGTAACCTAAGCTTCACTGCGCATTGACCACATAGCCGGTTGTGCGCATGCATTTTAGGACTTGTGAGTCTCTATAGTGCTCCGCTGATTAGCACATAGCCTTATTGTGTCTGCTGTTCTACAGTAAGTCAGTATCTCATAAAAAAAACTGAATCTGGCGCAATATATAACTATTTAATTGTGGACTGCTTCATGTGCACAAGCTTCCCACACTGACCGATGTGTCCAGGCAGTGGCGAGTGGGGCCGCGGCAAGGTGGGCGACGTGCTGGTCAGGATCAGGCTTTTCCTGTTGCTGGTTCTGCAACTTGAACACAAACGAGGAGAGAGAGGAAGTCAATACTCATCTTCACTCAATTCTGCTGTCAAATAGGGTTTATTGAGTGACCCCCAGGTCAATGAGGACACCGAGGTCCTTTGAGCCTGTTGGCGTATTGGTCACCTTAAGCCAATGTAGAGCTACAGCAAAGTTTGTACAGTAGGCCTCTGAGTGTGTGTGTGTGTGTGTGTGTGTGTGTGTGGGCCATAATAAAGGACTTTATTGACGTCCGCTCACCCACACAGGAGAGCAACACAGCAGCAAAGATTTTTTTTTAATTTCCTCTCGGCCCGGCTGGGACGACAGCAGCTGCTGTGAAGCACAAAGGCAGAAGCGACGAGGCGACGGAGCGACGGGCGGAGAGGAGGACAGAGGACCGGGGAGGGCAGGTTCCTCCCCGATGGGAGGCCCGAAACCATTGAACCATGAGGGCTTCAGCCACCGCTTCCCCCGCTGCCACCGCTGGACGCTTCATGGACACGCAGGCGGGACGTCTCAGGCGCATTAGGGGGGGATTTGGTTTGTTCTGGTTTGCATCAGCCGGCAGGCTGCTGCTCTGCAGCCGTGCAGGACGCGCTGTAGATCACACATTTATTGTCAATAATCGATATCCTCCCCTCAGCGCTCCTTCGTTTTGATCGCGGCACATGAAAGCCCCTTGGCTGGATCGTTGTGGTGGCTACACTTTGCCGAAATCATGCTCTCTGCTCCCGCGGGCGATAGTCGGAGCATTTATTACTGTTTTAGGGCATCGGGTCAGCTCCGGTCGCCCCACGCTCGACCCCCCGCGGCTTCAGCCTGTGTGTGTGAGCAACCGTGGGAGGCGGAGTACGATTCAATGGAAACCACAAGGAGTAAAGAGACGCGGCGCGCAATTTCTTTTTCTGCGTCGTACTCTTCTTTTTCCACAATTATCCCTCGTTTCACTCGCTCTGTAACCAGCAGAGCTGCGCGTGAATCACTGGAGCGCACCCTGCTCGAGCTTCACTCACAGCACATGTTCACATCCACAGCGGCTCCACGGAGACTCACTAGGTGAAGTGCCACGGGATTGATTCCTCTACCTGCCTCATTTCTGGGACATTTTCCTGCTTATTATTTTCACTCTCAATGACTTTCCGTCGGTTTTTCCTTTGTGCCGCTACATTTTCCCCACTTTGTTCTCTTTCGGCTTTATCCTTCCTCAAAATGAACTCTCAGAATAATGAATAATTGAAACGTGTGACGTGCAGGGAGCTCGTTCTTCTGCTCTAACTCCCCTTTCAGGGTAATAGAGTCAACGAAACCATTAAAAGACAGTAACAGAATGAAAACCCACAAGGGCAAAGCCATCGAATCTCCCCACAAAGCCACTGTGTTTTATAACACGGTCATCTGAATGTTGGAAAAGGGCATCTCGCCCAAAGCACTTTGTATTTTAAAATCAAAAAGGGTTAAATATTAGTGCTGCTCTTTAGTCTATAACCCAGCAGCCAGCCGCACATTCATCACCAGCAAAGGTCACATTGGAGTTCTGCTACTTGCCTGCAGACGAGAGTGGAACATACGATAGAAGCAGAAGGTAGGGGGAGGATTTATCCATATATATAATATTATACATATCAATGTATCCATACCCATTAGTTGATATATACATATATACATATGATATAGACATGGAGCTACGTTACAATCCGAATACATTTGAACTCTGGTGACACTTTTTTAATACTTATTCCATTTAATTCTCCGCATAAAGAGTGAAGTCATCAGACATGCAGGGCACCATTTTAAGGAGAAGCTCCCATTAATCCTTGTCCTGAAATAGCGGCCACATAATTAGCTGTCACAGCGCTGGAAGTGAGTGAGGGTTACAGGACGGTGGCAGTAAGGAATTATGAATAATTATGAATAACATGCTGCAGATCCACCGGACTGGAAACGCAGAGGAGATAAGAGATGTAGGGAAAGTGTGCGGGTGTGTGTCTTCGAGTGTGTATATGTGGGTCAGTGTGACCGTAAATCGCTGTGTGACAGTAATGGTCACGCAGTTCTGGGCTCATCCTCCCTCAGTCTGGTTAAGACGGTGTGTGTGTGTGTGTGTGTGTGTGTGTGTGAGATGCAGTTAGTATGCTACACATTGCCGTCTTTGAAGCATCAATCTGGATCTGTCTGTAGGTCTCGCGGTCAAACACAAACACCTTGTCTGTTTACAGCAAAACAAGCCGCGCTACATCGTCCACCGCCCTCCTCTGCTGTCAGCCGCCTGCTGGCGTTTGGATTCATTCACATTCATTGATCTTAAACAGAAAGCCGCAGCTTCGCTGAAAACGACACGCTTTCCGTTAAAATGTTTAAACCCATTCACGTCCAATTACGTTAAGAATGTATCATTGCCCGTCCATTATGAACTGACCCGAGAAGAAAGAAGGAGAGGGAAGAGGATGAGATGGGAAATGTGCGTAACCGTGGCAACACATTCCGGAGTCACACTCCGAAGAAGCAAACAGCGACGTCTCCAACTGTTTCCTTTTTCTATTTTCACCAAAGCTCACAGTGAGACGCTCACGGTGAGACGCTCAGTGAGACGCTCGCGGTGAGGCGCTCACAGTGAGCGGGAGGCGAGCGGCGGACTGCATCGGCCCTGATCTGAGACCAGTGCTTGGATATGATGGCAGGCGGCAGCCCACCACGACGCTGTGAGGCACGTTGACGCAGCCGAGCCAGCGGCTGCTTGTGTGCTCGAACCGGAAAGCCAGTCTCATAATCTGTCATAATCCACAGCGTAATCCATCATCTGTGAGTGTGACAGACGAGCAGCGGCGAGGCGCCGTCAGTCAGAGAGATTCATCGGGGTGCCTCTGTTGACGGACACTGACGGAGCGGATGGTGAGCTGCAAATTCATTCTCTTTCATCTGTTTGATCGTATTTGTTGGTTTGGTTTTGATTTCAGACGGTCTCAGGAAGCGCCAGCATGACAGACAGTGACGGGGGAGAGAAACGAGAGAAACGAGAGAAACGAGAGGCACGAGGGCGGAGAGAAAGAACCCATTTCGGCTGAATTGTGTTTATTTGGCAACATAATGAGATACGTTAATGTTCCACAAAGCGTTTACTGCCAACACAGTTGGCAAATGTTCCCAATAAACATATCGGTGAACAGAAACATTCAACAAGTGGACGGTGACTCGACTACTAGACAGAATATTGGACATTCATCAGGTGACACAAAACAAAACAAGTTGGGCCGAAGCGGATCGATGTGTCAATGAGTAAATGTTTGTTGATGCTTAAGCAACTACAATTTAACAACAGATAAAGCCTCGTTATTTAATATGTTTAATTTCATCACACTGCTTTAGTAGCTTAAAATGAACAACACACGAGAAGAAGAACTTGTACAAAAGTCTCTACTCTCATCTACATGATCCAGGCAGCAATTGCAATTCAAATGCAAAGATTATTTTGTAGCAGACGGGCCGAATGACAGCCAACAACCCCGGTGTGTGTTTCCTTGCTCCCAATATCCCGGGGCTGTCATTGGCTGCAATGCCCCCGGCCCCCCTGCTGGGTGGGGGTGAGGGGGGGCGGGGAGGGTCAAAGGTTAAATCTGTGGTAATGACTTTGACAAGCAATGATCGCTATGCAGGCCAGGCAGCCGGCCATTAGTCTCTCAAGCACACGCGCACACGGGATAGAATAAATAACACACATTGTTGGTCCCCCAACCCCTCAAAAGTGTGCCGACCGTCTCATTAGAGCAATATAAGTACTGCTCACATGTCATTAGATCGACACATTCCACGGCTGGCTGCCACTGACGAACACTCTCATTCTGCATCGGTAGCGATGGAACAAGGAGACGAGTTAATCACAACTAAGGTCATTTGTCACAATAGCGCTGTCCTCAGCGAGGTCACTGGTGTTTACTGAGCGAAACAACGCTGCGGCGATAAAGATGGAGCAAGAAAACACGAGCGCGCGGCCCAAACAGAAACGCTGTAAACAGGCGAACAGCTCCGAAGAACCAGAAGAATCAGAATCAAGGAAGTATAATTTATTCAACACGGTCAAACTCAGTAGAGGTGTGCTTTTAGTTTACGGCGGAAGATGTAACTAAGACTTCCTGATGTCCTGATGTCATTGGGGAGCTCGTTCCACTATTTAGGAGCCAGGAGAGAAAACTGGTGGCAAAGTAAACATGTTTTCAGTAATACCAGAATCATACAAAGACAAATTATGTCATGTGAATACATATTACCGCCAGTGATTTCGCCAAATAAACTAGTTCCAGCTTGTGTTCGCAGGTTGACACACCGAGCAGAAGCTGAATGCATTTCATGTCAGCCGCTGTGAGAGGCTGCACCAGCACCAGGGACGTCACCCGCAGGGTTCTGGACCCTTCATTAGGTCACCGTGGGTCGGGCGAGTTGTAGAAAAATATTCAGAAATTGGCTGGGCGACCGAAGCTGTTTATTTTTGTTGTAAATTGCTCCCCGGCCCAAAAAAATGTAAAAATCTGTAATGTAAATGTCCTGTAATGTAATGTAAAGTTGGTCATTGTGTGGGTCTATGAGGGATTACTCACCTCTGGAGGCGGCCTCAAGTGGCCATTTGTAGTACTGCAGTTTGGGGCATTTTGCAGTCATTGTCAGGTTGCTACTTGGGTACTTTCTTTCTTTTTGTTTACTTAATATAAATGTCAACTGCGGGACATTAGTCACATGCTGCAATTTCCCTGGTACAAAGTTTAGCGTTTCACATTATTGTACACAATAACTACTTGACCGGTAATTTAGTTTTATAAAAAAAAAACAGAAATAGAAGAAAGGGAGCTAAAATAAATGAATCACAGTGGGGATTTAGCCAATTGATGTTTCCGCAATACCGTCCTTACTCATGATCTTGTTTTAATTGCAAACCTCTATCACAAACTCCCAATCTTCCGTTGTCTGTGTCCTGATGTGTGGGCAGCGGCGTCTCATTTTATCATGCTTCATTGACTCTT